GGTATAGCTTTACCAGCGGCCCCCTTTCCCGAGGCAGTTCCCTGCTCTCCCCTGTGAGAGGGGCACCCGAATCCATTCACCCCATCCGACTTCAGAATGTATTCGTTGGGTTCAGTAACTCACCACCAGCATCCAGCCAAATCTAGCAGATCTACGGCGCCACAACTTAGTTCTTGGTCAGCTCGCAAGATATAATGACGTCCTACACTGTCCACAAGATAGGGGGCCACCTCCCAATTCAACACCCCTCACCCACCGAGAGGTTGGCAGGCAGATTTGAACCCGGGAGCCGAAGTCAGGCCTTAACTTCTGAAGCCACCTGCCATGTATGATGTGTGAAACAGGGGGGTGTATCTTCACCCGTGGCAGCTACCCTGCGAAACCCTGCCTTCCCCGGTATTTCGGGGCACCCTCATCCAGTCACCCTAGTCAACTTCTCAGTGGATCGCTCAGGTTCCGCACCCACCACCAGCATCCAACGGAATCTGCCGGGTCGACAGCGGCCCAACTCCGTTCCTGGTCGGCTCGCAGGTTAACTATATCCTAGGTCACCACCGTCCATCAACCAGGGGCGCAATGCCTTCCACCATCGGAAGGACTTTTGACCCTAATGGGTAACGATCGCGGGATCTCCCGGGGGCAATGGTCGCGCCTTATGCCATGTATGAATGTATGTTTGGTTGTTTATAAGAATGTATTCGCTTTTGTGTTGCCACTCCTAGAATCCGCCCTTTGCGCGTGCTTTCCTCAACCCACACCAAACCCTGCCCTGCATCCTCCCACCACATGCCATCCCGCCATGTCCGCAGTTCAACGTGTCCAGCAGCTGCCTGGTGGCCGGGGCTTCAGTTGTCGCCACCGTGAATGGAGCACCCACTCGGGTTGGTGCGTCCTTCGACAAGCCCCCGACCGGCCCACCTGGCTCCGCCATTCTGCGGCTCACCCAGCTGGGGCTTGACACCACGACCGCCCAGGATGCGGAGGTGTGCATCACCCTCAAGACCAACCGCGGAGGCCAGGGCTGCACCACCCTGGAGCAACTGTGCTCGTCGCCAGGCTTTTCTGCAGGCACCTGTACGGCAGCATTCTTCAGCAGTGACAGCAATTGCTGTCCGATATCATCAGCGGCCAGGCCAGCCATCAGCGAGCCACCCCAGCCTCCATCAACACGCCCCGACTCACCCGTTATCATCCCTATGCCCAGCTTCATCTGCGTTGCAACTCAATTGCAAGCCCCGGACCCGGATAATAATCGCCCTTACCGCTACGATGACAACACCTGTGAAGCAATTCAGCAGATCATTGCCGACTCCATCAACACCGCCGCCTTGGAAAAGGGTTTCCTTATTCACTTCTCACCACGTCCCGAGCTCTGCAGTGACTACAAGGTGGAGGTCTGCAGCAGCTTCGACCTCAACGCCTCAAGTGATGAAATTATAGCTTCCATCCGGTCTATTCTCACTGAGCAGGCCCCGACCTGGGCTGTGGCTGCCTCCGGAGGGGGTGACTCCTGCCTTCCAGAAATGCAAGGATACAGTGTGCAGGTCATACTGAAAGGGGTCCACGGATTAGATGACGTTTTCGCATCACGTAATTGCACAAAGACCGCGCCACCCCCTCCTCCTGTGACACCACCACTGCCACCACCACCACCGCCGCCGCCGCCACCGCCGCCTGCGCCACCACCACCACCACCACCGCCGCCGCCACCGCCGCCTGTGCTGCAGCCGCCTCCACCATCACTGCCACAATCTTCTCCATCACAGCCTCAACCTCCTCTAACTCCTCCTTCGTCACCGCTTCCTGTTGACGAGTTCAGCAAAGTATGCATTTCGGCTGTGCTGGATTTAACAGACATCTTCCCCTACCGCTTCAATGCCGCCAGCTGCACCACCATCCAACAGGCCATTGCCAACTCTGCCAACACCGCCGCCTCTACGAACGGCATCCATTTACTAGAGGTTTTCACACCTAATGTGTCGCTGTGCGGCGGCATGGAGGCCTCCGTTTGCGGCCTGCTTTCCAGCTATGATAAGGTGGCCTTTGAAGCTATCGTCGGTCAGCTGCTTGGCTTCTGGCTTGAGCTTGCCGGCAGCGGCAGCGACTGTTCCTCAAACGAATACCGATTGACCGTAGCAGTGTCTGTAGGGGAGAAGGTGGTCTCTATGTCTATCGCCTGCTCTCCGATTATTTTTGCACCAGGTTTCCCTTCTTCCCTACCATCCTCCCCACCTCCACCGCCCCCGCCGCCCCCTCCACCTCCACCTTACCCTCCCCCACCACCAACGTACCCTCCGACAACGCCCCCATTCCCTACCGATATTGTAATCGAAGGTCACCAGGTCTGCATCTCTGCTTTGCTGAGAGAAAAACCGTTGTTTGTCGAAGTCCCCCCCCCGTACCGCTACGACGCCGCCAGTTGCGCCACCATCCAACAGACCATCGCCCACGACGCCAACACCGCCGCCAATGACAATGGCATCTACTTGTTCGAGGACTTCAGGCCCGATCCGATGTTGTGCAGCGATACCGAGGTCAGGGTATGCGGTGACATACCTTTGGTTGACCGCAAGGCCCTGGAAGAAGCTCTCAAGCCGTTGCTCCTCAAATGGTTTAGCCTAGCTGTCGGCTATGATGGCGTGTGTCGACCGGAGCTACGAGGATACGAAGTGGTGGTGGTTGCAGGGGATAATCAGTTAACAATCTCTACAACCTGTTTGATGCCTGACGAGCACCTAGCACCCCCACCCCCACCTCCACCGCCACCTCCACCTGCCCCACCTGCCTCGCTGCCGTTTGGATACCCGCCGCCATCTACACCTCCACCTCCCACGCAACCCGATGGCCCAACCATCGTGACCACATTCAATCAGCTCTGCATCTCTGCTTCGCTGGAAAAAGTATCCCCGCCTTTCGAAGTCCCCCCCTCGTACCACTACGACGCCGCCCGCTGCACCACCATCCAACAGACCATTGCCAACGATGCTAACACCGCCGCCAATGACAATGGCATTTACTTGCTCGAGGACTTCAAGCCCGATATGTCGATGTGCAGTGATACCGAGGCCACAGTATGCGGCATGCTAATCAACTATGAGGACCGTAAAGTCCTTGAAAGCACCATTAAAGCGCGGCACATCCTTACCTGGTGGGAACTGGCGGCGGGTGGTACTGCATGCCGGCCGGAGCTTCAGGGATATGCAGTATATATAATTGTGGGCGGCAGGAGGTTTTCTGTCACGGGAAGTTGCATGTGGCATGGGCCATCACGGCCAGCCAAACCATCGCCTCCTGCATCCCCACCACCACCTCCACCGCCCCCGCCGCCCCCGCCACCTCCACCTTACCCTCCCCCACCACCAACGTACCCTCCGACACCGCCCCCATTCCCTAACGATATTGTAATCGAAGGTCACCAGGTCTGCATCTCTGTTTTGCTGAGAAAAAAACCGTTGTCTGTCGAAGTCCCCCCCTCGTACCGCTACGACGCTGCCAGTTGTGCCGCCATCCAACAGACCATTGCCAACGATGCCAACACCGCCGCCAATGACAATGGCATCTACTTGTTCGAGGACTTCAGGCCCGATCCGATGTTGTGCAGCGATACCGAGGTCACGGTATGCGGTGACATACCTTTGGTTGACCGCAAGGCCCTGGAAGAAGCTCTCGAGCCGTTGCTCCTCAAATGGTTTAGCTTAGCTGTCGGCTATGAAGGCGTGTGTCGACCGGAGCTACGAGGATACGAAGTGGTGGTGGTTGCAGGGGATAATCAGTTAACAATCTCTACAACCTGTTTGATGCCTGACGAGCACGTAGCACCCCCACCCCCACCCCCACCGCCACCTCCACCGCCCCCGCCGCCCCTGCCACCTCCACCTTACCCTCCCCCACCACCGTACCCTCCGACAACGCCATCAGAGCCTTCAAGGACCCCGCCTCCAACAATGAATGGTGACTACGCCACTTGTGAAGTCTGTTTGTTCGCCGAGCTTAAACCTCCCGCTTACCCGGGTGCTCAATCCTTCCAATACGATGATGCCGCCTGCACCACAATACGGCAGCACTTCGCCGACTCCCTCAACGCCATTTCTGCACAGCTGGGCTTGTATCCCAAAACGCATCCTGCATGGTTTTGTTCGGAAAGACAGGTTGTATATTGTGGCGGAGACGTCATTAGGGATCCATCCAAAAGGATCGATGGAGCGGACGATTTGCTTTTCTCGTGGCGGGAAGTCGCGTCAGGCGGTAAGGGCTGTCTAGAGCTCGCCGGCTACCAGGTAATAGTCGGCTTTTCAGAACATCAACAACAAAAAGGCTGCATCTGGGATCTCTATACCAGTTTCTCCTGCCCAATGCACCCAATGCTGCCGCAGCCTGCATACCCACCACCACCGCCACCAGCGCCACCGCCGCCGCCGCCACCACCACCACCTCCACCGCCATCGCCTCCACCGCCACCGCCACCAGCGCCACCTCCGCCGCCGCCACCACCACCACCACCTCCACCGCCATCGCCTCCACCGCCGCCGCCTCCACCACCGCCACCGCCACCAGCGCCACCTCCACCTCCACCACCACCACCACCTCTACCGCCATCGCCTCCACCGCCGCCGCCTCCACCACCGCCACCGCCACCAGCGCCACCTCCACCTCCACCACCACCACCACCTCCACCGCCATCGCCTCCACCGCCTCCACCACCCCCATCACCGCTTCCGCCTCCTCCACCACCTCCACCACCACCGCCGCCACCGCCACCGCCACCGTACCCTCCGTCATGGGCCCCACCACTGCAGCCGCCAGTGCCTGACGATAACGCCATCAAATCTAGCCAGCTCTGCATCTCTGCTTCGCTGGGAAAAAAAAGCCCGCCTTTCGATGTCTTCCCCTACCCCTTCAATGTCGCCCGCTGCACCACCATCCAACAGACCATTGCCAACGATGCCAACACCGCCGCAAATGAGAAGGGCATTTACTTGCTCGAGGACTTCAAGCCCGATATGTCGCTGTGCAACTATGCCAAGGTTACGGTATGCGGCCGCCTTCGTTTAAGGGACCGTGTGGCCCTGGAAAATGCTCTCGAGCAGAAGGCACGCCACTGGATTACTTTGGCCGCCGGTTATGACCTTTGTGATCCAGAGCTGCAGAGCTATTCAGTATCGGTGACTGTAGGAGAACACACGTACGCAATGGGCACTAGCTGCGATCTAACTCCTACGGCCGTGACAACCCGTATGTAAGTGCGTGTGTGTATGTATGCGTGTGTGTCTGTATGTGTGTATGCGTGTGTGTATGCGTGTGTGTATGCGTGTGTGTATGCGTGTGTGTATGCGTGTGTGTATGAGTGTGTGTATGCGTCATGATCTGTTCCATCCAAAACCCGGCAGAAAGACAGCATAAGTATGCTTATAAGCTTTATGCGGGGCAGTCCAAAATTTAGGGAGGGATCTTCCCCACACCGCACTCTTCATGCACACCACCACATGTCACCCCCGTGCCCAAGTGTACACACATACATACACACACACACGGATGCGTGCCTAGCAGGCCGTTGTGCGATACTCAAAACCATTATTACATTGCATGTCTGCTATATGCATGTTAACAGTGTGAGTAGTGAGTAGTGAGTAGTGAGTAGTGAATGCACCACCACCCTGCCAACCTCCTATATACATGTATATAGCAGGGCCTCTACCTTCTGGAATGGTATTCACACAGACTCTCCCTTCCGTGTGCAATACATCCGCGTGCGCAATTTGCATTTTGTTTTCGTGCCTTATATTTTATCACAACTCTACCTTCCCCTTGTTCTGTTCTGCAGATGCGACCCGAGCCAGGGCGGCCTGCCGTACATCGTGGCACCTAGATATTTCCTGCTAGCCCAGACCAACAACAGGAGCTCTACAAACGAGTACTGCTTCGGCCTCAGCACGTGGGCCGCAGAGGTGCGGTTATATGCCATAACCCATAACCGTTATGGGTGATACAATCCCGTACTGTTTATACTGTCGTATAAACACCTCGTTCGCTTCCCACATATGTATGCTCGCCTATAGCACTGCCAAATGCTTGTTGCCTTGTATGCCTACATTCACACCGCGTTGTTAGTGCTGGGGGGGTTCGCAAGCTGGGGGGGGGGCTGCAGGGGGCTCCATCCGTTCGTACGTGTCGCGGCAGCGGTGGGTGTTCTCTCCCTTCACATAAATTCATCGTAAGTTAAGCCTGTCTCCTATTTGCGACTGCTGCCTGCTGCCTGCTGCCCGCAGGGCGACTCCCTCTCGCGGATGGAGTGGTATGCAAGTGAGTCTCCGCTGCCTGCGCTGGATAGATGACAGTACTGCTGCCACTTGGCTGGTGGCTGTGCAAATATAGACACATGAGCGCGTGCGTGCGCGCAAGCTTGCGCAATACATGTGCACAAATTGCCGTGCTTGCTTGCCTACCAAAACAAATCTGCATTAAATATGTCTTATTTATAAAATTGAATAGTCAGCCAATCCGTCATATGGAACTGAAAACGTTGCGCAACAGCAGCCGCAGCAGCAGCAGCAGCAACAACAGCAGGGCCCGCGTGCTGCAGCCAATAGCACGTAGTAGGTATGGACACGAAAGACAGCTGCTTCTGAGCGATCACGTGTATGTAGCCCAGCCAGCCATCCCTTTCCCGCACCTTCATAAGCATGAGTCCATAAGCATGTATTTATGGAGGAATGGGTGAACATACATGCATGCCTATTCGCCATGGCGGGGGACGGGGTTACCTGCTGCCGTGTTCCGGTGATATACGCGATATACCCAGCTGGGTATATCCTGCAGGATACAAAATGAAGCGCTTCACACGTAGAGGTGGCCATCTGGACTCCGTACCCAGCCGGCATGGCGAATAATGCTCTGCTTGCAATAGATGCAGCGCAGCAATGTTGATGGCTAGTTGATTGACTGATTGATTGATTGATTAATTACCTAAACTCTACATTACGCGCTCAGTCGCTTGTCCCGTTTCATAGTTCCACGACGCGTTTTCGCGCGCCAGACGTTCTTAGTTGCATCGCTTGGTCATTTGCTCCTGCCTGCCTACCTCTACCTGCCTGTCCTGCCTATCCCCGCAGACAGGAGCCTGAGCGCGTGGGTCGCAGGCTTCACCCTCTACTCCAGCACGGGTAACATCACCGCACTGCCCGCCAGATGGGCAACTGGCAGCAACGGCAGCACAGACATACTTCAAGGTACGTATGGATGTATGCATGTATGCATGTATGCATGTATGCATGTATGCATGTATGCATGTATGCATGTATGCATGTATGCATGTATGCATGTATGCATGTATGCATGTATGCATGTATGCATGTATGCATGTGGTGCTGCTGTAGCGAGTAGCATCTATCTGGCCTCTCGCGGTGCTAGTGATAATACACGCATTCACACGTATATGTGTATTGACGGTGTGTGTGCCGCAATGCACGACAGCGACTACGGGTGCCCACCAGGCCGCCGCTCACGCTGTGGTGTGGGTGCGCGAATAATGGAAGTGCACCGCAGCTGCTGCCGTAATAACGCTGTGATGTTTACGACGTAGCGAGCTAGCTAGTAATATTCTTCTTGGCAGCAGCGGCGCCGCCCATCATCCTCGCTCTTACGAGGAAGGATGATGATGACCTCCCTCGTCAATACCCGCATCAATACCAATACAACGTCCATGGGCGCCCCGCGGCTTGTACGGACACACCTGCAGAACTTGTAACTTGTAACTTACGATTACGTGTATAAGTACGGTTATGCACAAGTACGTCCGCCGCCATTCCGCCGGTCACCATAATTTTGTTGCCCCGTTCCTGCTTCCCTCTTTCCCGCGTGGCGGCGCACATACGTAGCCAACGAAATCAACTGGACCACCACGCAAGCCAATGGTGCTATGGTTTGTGTGCGGGTCAAAAAGCCGAGGACTCTACAACAGCTGTGCTTTGAAGATAGGCTGTGGTAGGATGGGTACATGGGGGATGGCAGAGGGGGAAAGTACGCACGCACTCATCGCCGACCAAACGCTGCCCTCCGATGATGATGATGATATTAGCTAGAGGACTCGGCTGCTCGCGCTCCCTCACCCTACTTCCCTTTTCCTACCTTCTGCTAACCGCTGCTGCAATGCTCCATTAATTCGTTTTCATTCTGCTGCATTCGCATCAAGTCCATGTATCACCCTTGTGCTTTTATTTTTTGTTTTTGATTTCTCGCTTGCGCGTGTGAACATATGTGTGCACATATATGCAGCTACGTCTCCTTATTCGGCAGTAGCGGGGATCGCTGTCCCACCTTCAAGACGGCGCTTCGGCAGACCTGATGACGGCAACTTCGGGAAAGTGTCACATTCGCGCAAGAAGATATCTGTAAGTGGCGGCAAAGTACAGACATACATGCATACAGCCTTACAACCGACCACGGCGGCAAATTACATCTTTGGGCTAGATTTCTGCACAGCCAAGCAATAAATAGTTACCCGGAGCGCGTGCGTTTGCTTTTACTAACACGTTGTTAGTTATCAGGCAAGTCAGCAAATGCAACCCTCGGCGACCAGCCCGTTGCATGTGTAAATGTCGCCTTGCCTTGCTTCCGACAGGGCTGACGCCATCCACGTGGCCATCTTGGGGAGTTTTTGAGTCCGAGCACGATCGATGGATGCGACTTAACTTTCCTACACAAGATATATACATACATACCGGTTCAAATCCGCCTGCCGGCTCCTCGGGTGTTTGAGGAGTGATGAAATGGGAGGTGGCCCCCCATCATATGGACGATGTAGGACGTGATAATATCAACTTGCGAGCTGACCAGGAACTAAGTTGATGCGCCGTTGATCCGCTAGATTTGGTTGGATGCTGGTGGTGAGTTGCCGAACCCAACGAATACATTCTGAAGTCGGATGGGGTGACGGATTAGGGTGCCCCTCTAGCAGGGCAGAGCAGGGACTGCCCCGGGAAAGGGGGCCGCTGGCGAAGTTAACCACCCTGTAACAACATACATACCTGCGTACTCATAGCAGCAGGTCCACGTGCATGCGTCTAAATCTGCAAGCGGGACATGCCTCCTATTTGCTTGCGGAACGATCGCATAAGGTTACTGGTTGTCGTATCGCCGTACTGGTACCGTCGCGATACGGCATGCACGACATGGCTGTTACTAGTTCGTTTCGTCCTTGATCGTGTGCAGGGGTGGTGTGCCTGCTGTGTGCATATTCCGCCAAAAAGGATATCTCGACTGACACGACTGAGATGTGGTGGGTTGCTGCTTTCCGTCGATTGATTACCCGCAATTACCCTCGTTATCCTTTATACCCGTGTCGAACTTGTTAACGGCCGATTTTATGTTTGGTGTGTTGTGAAAGTGCATGCACACAACGGGGGAAAAGTTGATGTCCCCCATCAGCTCACTACTGCTGGTGGCTACTGCTGTGGTGTCACTAAAACCGGGACCCAGTTGGTATTTGCTGGAGGACTCTGGCGGATGCACGCTTGTTTTATCCGTTTCCTCTTTTTTCTGACACCGTCGTACATAGGTACGGACTCGCCCCAAAAAAAAGCGGATCGCATTTGCGACTTGCTAGACATTCACGACTGCCATATAGTCACAGCGTTGTCAGAAACGTGCATGGCGCACTGTGTTTGGTGTTGTTGCTGGTTGGCACGGATGTGCGACGCCCGAATAACTTGCTTGGTTGCGTGCCTAGGCGTCTCGACGGCTTGCTACAAAGCTGCTGATGAGTTGCTGCAGCGTTCTTTGTTCGCGGTATTACTTCATTATTAAGCAGATATAGCGTCCCCTCGAATGGTAAAGTGAAACTACAGCACGGGCACATACACACGCCCGATGCATGCACACGCCCGGCGTGTATCGAGCTAACCCGACTGACCTCCTCACTTTCGTTTCAATACCTATATTTTACTTGATAATGTTTTCTTTTGCCCATCATTCTTACGAATGCGCACCGAGCGATGAACGCCCCGTGAATTCGGTGATCAACGGGAATGTGAGCGTACTTGCGCCGCTACGTGAATACGACTCACATACCTTGGCTGTTGTTGCATGCATGGCGTGCAGTACTCACTCACTTGTGCACGCGCTGGTGAATGGATTATCGGGCTGCACAGTGGATGGCCGTCTGTATGCTTGCTTTTTGCCTGCCTGACTGTCTGCTGCTTTGTTCCCGGACGAGTGCATGAATGGGTGAGTCTGACGGATACATGTTTGTACTTGGTCACGTGTCGAGAAGATACCTATCGACGGTCGCAAGCATGCTGTAATACGCATTTTTCCATTCTGCGTGGACGCCTCGTTGCACAGGCCAATCGGGTGACCAACAAACCACCTTGCTGCCGTCACCCTTGCTTTACCTCCGCGTCCCCTGAGCCTTTCTTTTCTGCTGTCCCTCCTACACAAACCCACTACTGCTGCTCTTAATCATGACGTCGTTTTGTCATTATATATACGGTAATTTTCTGGGGTGCAGTTCCATGGCAACATATCACGGCCACTGACATGTGTCACACCGTCTGTGTGCCGAACCCGAATATTAAGACTGCGGCGATACTTCCGTGCAGCTCGTACGGGTACAGCAATTACGCTGCGTGAAAGACCGGTTCTGCTTACATACATACCACAACACGCTTGATAGTGAACATACGCGTCAAACCAAATATTGCGTTGCTCAAGAACTCCAACCATCACATCCAAAACATACTAGTCTCTTAGATAGTATCCCCCCATTCACTATGTACATGGTGATGACAGCGACGTGAAGGATCCAGCTACCTACACACGCCCAATCAAGTCGTACATGTTTCAACGTTCGTTCATCTTCGGGAGGTCAACCCGGCAATCCCTGACAGCCTCATCCTAGACAGACGGCAGGTGCTAACTAGGATTCTGCTGCATGGCGAGACCGGCTGCACGATGTATGTCAGGTACCATCGCGCTTTCGCCCCCTGGTGATGCCTTCATCTCTAGACCTATGTTGCCACCGACCCCGCCCCAACACATCGCCCAGTCAGCCGTAAGTCAAATCCTAGAAGCTATGTAACCTGCCCCATCCGCATCCCTCTCTCCTATCTCCAGACGTGCCCCACCCATGAAACTGGGTCCGACCGTTGCTGATAGTTCACCATTTGCCTCAAATGGATGAAAGGAGGAGCCCATGGAATAAAGGCCAACCCGCAAGGCCACCAAATGATTCATTTCACCCTAAACTCTAAGTCACCAAACACGTACCAAACTTGCGAATGACGACAGCGAGGACTTACTCACGGAGGGCAAAAAGCAGCACCGCGTATTTGCCTGCGATGCCGATGCCCCAAAATTGGACCTCACACACTGCCGCATCACTTCACCTCGCTCCCGCCCTCGCTCCCTCTCCAGCTGCCGCGGCTTCGCGAAAGGTTGATTAACAAAAACCTAACAGGCGGACAAAACGCTCTCATGGGGAGCTGACACACAGAGAAAAGCAGGAGGGCGAAACGCATGTTCTTTTCATCCAGTCATGTCCAGCCGCCCATGGAGACCAACCCATCAAGCCGCAACCATCACGAACCACCGCATCAAGACAACATAACGGTCGGCCGCGCTTTTGCACCAGAACCAAAGCACCGATCATCAGCACCGAAAGAGCACCACCCTAGACTGCGCAGCGATCCTCGTGGCAGACCCGCTGCGCCAAACTCCATCACCACGCAATAACGACACAACATCACTAAAAAAACAAAACCAATGTGCCAGCAACCACCGCGTTAGGGCCGCCGGCACAGGCCCTATGGCAGCGTATCGCTCTCTGCTAAAATTTATTGTAACATTCGTTTTATGCGGTAGCAGCCACTGGCTCCGCCGCCTCGGCGGACGCCCACCGAGTGACGAGGTTGCGGTCGCCGTACACGTTGTCGACGCGACTGACGGTCGGCCAGAACTTGGCCTGCCAGACCCACGGCGCAGGGTAGGCGGCGCGTTCGCGGGTGTATGGCCGGTCCCAGGTGTCCACAAGAACCACCGACGGCGCATGCGGCGCATGCTTGAGGACGTTGTTCTCGCGGTCAGCCCTGCCCTGCTCGATCTCGCGAATCTCCTGCGTGGGCCAAACCGTCGGCGCGGCACGTCATGCATGGCAGGTGACAAAATGGGAATATGAGGTAGGGCCTGACAGGGTTTTGCTTCGAAGTCGATACGCGCAGCCGCGTCAGGTCATCTACACAGATGTGGGATGTAACAGGCGACCCGAGGTACATGTAGAGCCGCTTCCATGAAATGTAAACCCCCCGCATCGCTCGCATTCTACGGACATAACACGCAACGACGACGACGACCTCCCGGCAACCACCAGACAGACCGCAGCGTTTTTTGTCGACCATTCCGAGGTGGCGCCCATGGAGCTCAACTGTTCGGTTCTCCCAGCTGGCTTCCCTCTCCCTCTCTCAACTACCCAGCGTACCTCCCGGATAGAAATCATGGCCTCGCAGAAGCGATCCAGCTCGTCCTTGGACTCGGACTCCGTGGGCTCAATCATGAGCGTGCCCGGTACCGGCCAGGACATGGTGGGAGCGTGGAAGCCGTAGTCCATCAGGCGCTTGGCCACATCCTCAGCCTCAATGCCAGCAGTCTCCCTGCACGCGGAGGGAAGAGATACGGGTGTAAGAAAAAGGCAAGGTGTGCGCGCGTGGGTAAGTGCTTGCGTAAAGCTCAAGATGTGTATATGTGTGAGAAGCTTGGGAGGAGGGCTATGCGGCAAGCAGAGTGAGCCAAGGGGACGTGCATTTGCATTTACAGGCAAATTAATTACGTGTTGCGTTTTTAGGCAAAGGTTCAGCTTGGAGGAGGAAGGTATGTCAGGGGTCAGGGGGGAAGACCGCGCTAATGATGCCTGTGCACAGTACGGCGCGTTGCAAGGCACCACACTTGTTTGTAAACACTGCACAATACGGCACGTGAAAAGTCCCCCACCATGCATTCCTCAGCCCTAATAACCCACAACCCACGATCAGTTTTAGGAGTAGCCACTCATAAAACTGCCACAGATTCGGGTTGAAGCCTCTAACAAGGATCAGCCTCACCCAACGGCCTGAGCTCTCATTTATCCAAGCACCCTACGGTTACGAGCGCCGCAAACCTTATCAAGCCCCAACCAACCCACTCTCGAGTGTTAGAACTCACTTGAGTGGTCGCAAGTCCAGGATGAACTCATGCGCGCAGGTACCGTTAGGCCCGGTGAACAGCACGGGGTAGTGGCCGGCAAGACGCTTGGCCATGTAGTTGGCCTTCAGGATGGCGAGCTTGGAGGCCTGCGTGCAGTTGAGCAATTGGCGGTCAGGAGGAAAGGGTACTACTTTACTAAGCGCGGAAATAAAGGGCGATAGGAGAAGGAGAAAGCCACAGACTCAGATTACGCGACGAGTTCGCCCGCACGGCCCAAGCGCGAATGCTGAATGGTCCTCTGCTCAAGTGGATAGTGCCCGCCATGCATTCGCGTAACCATTGGCACATGCCTTCGCTACCAACCATGTCAGACAGTATCTGTGTCACGTGCGCACGCCGCATCACTCACCATCGTTAGACCCCCCGATCCCATCATGGAGATGTAGGCAAAGGAGATGGGCAAGATGAGCGAAGAGCCATACGGCGCCGCCGCCATGGTGCCGAAGGGCTGTGGAGCGGCGGGCCGTACAGGCAGCGCGCCGGTGGGTATGACAGGGTGCGTGGGCAGGTAGGGAGCCAGGTGGGCCTTGACGCCGATGGGACCCATGCCGGGCCCGCCGCCACCGTGGGGGATGCAGAATGTCTTGTGCAGGTTAAGGTGGCAGACGTCAGCGCCGATGATGCCGGGGGCTGTGAGGCCGACCTGAAGAACATACAAGGGAGGCGGGAGGCGGGGGGAGGGGGACCGCAGCAGCACAAGAGGAAGCCGCGCGGGGTGGATGTGGACGGCATGTGTTGAGGCGAGTAGCTCTGAGGAGGGACACGTGAAAACATGCCATGTAATCTCTGTGGTACGTCTTTCTCTGTTACGAACAGCCGTTCAACTCGAAAGCATAGGGAACAGTAACTCATGGAAGGGTTCCAAAAGACTGATGTGTGACATGATACACTTGTGTATGGGAAATATGCACGAGGAAACAAACACCAGGAGGATTGAAGTGTGTATTAACACAATTCTACGTGTGTAAAAATCAATTTCCCCAATCCAGGCTGAGGTTGCCCGGTTGCTTAAAACACAAGCATTTACATACACAAATCCCATGCAAAAATCCCGTGCACACGCCCTATCGTACCTGCGCATTCATGTTTGCCCCGTCCATGTACACCTGGCCGCCGTGCTGATGAATAATACGGCAAATTTCGTCCACGCCCTCCTCGTACACGCCGTGCGTAGAAGGGTACGTGATCATCAACGCCGCCAAGTTCTTGCTGTGCTGCTCGGCCTTCTGCTTGAGCTCCGCGATGTTCACATTACCATGGGCGTCCGTGGACACGGTGACGATCTTCATGCCCGCCATGACAGCGGAGGCGGGGTTGGTGCCGTGCGCGGAGACCGGGATGATGCAGATGTTGCGGTGGGCGTCGCCACGGGCGCTGCGAAGAATGCGCAAGAGGAATAGCTACGTGGGTAAGTGAGGCGTCGCTTAGGATGAGAAAAACATGTGTGCGGGAAGGGCGAAGTAGGGGCAGAGCGGTGCGCGTCGGAAGAAAATATCGTTTGGTAAGGTGGTGAGAAGGCAGAGAGGCCTGGACCGGAACCACGGAGGGGAACTGTCATCGGGAAGCTTACTCGGCCTTACAAGTGCTGCGCTTGCACAGACGGGCCTTGCGTATTTCGTTGGGCAGATATCACGTGGGGTTCAATCGCGAGGAGCTTATCTAAGCTTACCGGACCCTAAGTTCACGCCCTAGGGCACACAGGAGACCGGACCGACTCACAGGTGATAGGACCGGATGGCCATAAGGCCCGCATACTCCCCACTGGCTCCGCTGTTGGGCTGCAGCGACACCGCATCGAAACCCGTGATGGAGCACAACTGGGCAGCCAGGTCCCGGAACATCTCATTGTAGCCCTGCAGGGCGGGCAGAGCGAATCATATACAACCAAGGGGGAGCTATAAGCAGAGCGCAGTTCACTGGTACGTCGGGGGAGGAGGAGAGGGGGCCGACTGAATAGTGGTGTTTGGTGAGTAGACAGACAGACAGACAGACAGGACATGTGTTCAAGTGGCCCAGAAGCCTCCCACTCTGTAATAATTCAATTCAATTCAGGTAGGACATGACACACGGTGGCTGACTTGCAGAACTAGATGTGGAGGTAAGAGATGGTAGGCAAGATATAGTAGGTAGACAGGTGGTAGTCGAGACTACGAAGCGGAGACTTTGCATTGATGCAGGGTTAAAGACATTGCCGCTCAATTTATCCATATAAGCCGAAGAACCGGATGGATAGGCGTTCGTGTGCCATCCTCATCCTCTCAAGGCGCGACGACGAGAGCCGTCTCCCGCTCTCCCAACAACTTCCAACAACAGCGAGAGAGAAACATTTCCACCAAAACGTATCATTAACAGTGGCATCAAGGGCCCATCCCGCTCCTCCCTGTCTCCTCACCTCCGCCTGATCGGGCGGGCAGTACGGGTGCAGGTTGGCCAGCTCAGGCCAGGTGACCGGCATCATCTCCGAAGTGGCATTGAGCTTCATGGTGCAGGAGCCCAGCGGGATCATGCTATGAGCCAGACTCAGGTCCTTGTTCTCGAGGCGCTTGAGGTAGCTGCGCAAGGGAGGAGGTGGTAGAGAAGGTAGTAGTAAGGTGTGAAAAAATCGCTGGGTGAGAAGGGTTGCCAAGAAGAACCCCGACTCACGATGCCAAGCTCCCCAGACCCCCAAGATCCCCCAGCTCGTTTGCCCCCGCCTGCTCTTCATCGGCCCTAAATCACCCAACCAAGCAGGCAACCATTTATTCACTTCGATAGACCCCGTTGAGGTTGGCACCGTAGACCTTCGACTCTAAATACTGCACGTACATGTCATAATCACACAAACCACGCACACCCCGCAGAAGGCACCCACCGCAGCATGTCGTGCTCGTTGTGGTATGTGTTGAAGATGGGCTGCTGCAGGAAAGGTGACTGGCGAGCAAAGGGCCCCACGCCGCCCTCCACTGCTGGCGCCAGCGCGGCGGCGTTGAATGGCGCGTCCTGGCCGTTGTTGAGCACCCGCAGCAGCGCATCGACGTCAGCCAGGGTGCTGGTCTCGTCGAAGGCGATGCTGATGGCGTTGGGCGCAATCTTGCGGATGTTCATCTGCCATCATGCCGCGGGGCACAGAGAGCAGCAGCAGCAGCAGCAGCAGTAGCAACAACAAGAGGAGGCAAGATATGGAAGTACGTTCAGAATTGGCCACCAGGCTGAGGTTTCAGTAAACAGATGTTAACTGCTGACGGGTCCAGATAATGTTGGGTCCAGAAGCGCGTCGCTGGCAGACGCGGTGCAGGAAAAGAATGGAAAGCAGACACCGTCAGATGAGCGTCAGCGTCGGGTGGGCATCCGTACTTGAAAAAAATGCGATGCGGCTCAGCAGTTATAGTTTGATTGAACACCACCATGAACGCAACGGTCGGTCGACCGCGTGCGTTTCTGCGTGTTGTTGTTTCTCGTCACAGCCGCGGGCCGTAGGGGGCCCACAACGCTCCCTCCTCACGGTCAGCCAGTGCCTCAAGAGTCAGGCCCAGAGGAGTGCAGTACACTGCGCCAAGAGCAGCGGATGGCGCCAGGCATGTGGTGCTCCAGCAGCCTTACTTGTGATAATAGGCTGACGTCAAATATGACGCAACCAAACCAAACCCGAGCAGCGCAATGGCTCCATTACGAAACGTAACCACCATCACCGTATGTATGGTCGCAGCAGCGCTGGCAGGGCTCAACAGTTACAAGTAAAAATTCTTCTACCATCACGATAAGGTCTGTTTTTCCCAGCTGTTTCCTCGTAGCTCTGCCGGTGTACACACAGACCGCAGCAGCTACGGCCGCGTACACGCTCGGGTAGTTGGGTAGTTCATGAGCTCGTCAGTCAGTATCATTCCTTGACGTGCACCATCCTGCGCCCGCATAACCACCTCCTTCCATACCAGCTTGTCTCTGGTACGGTTCAACGCACCGCCGCTACTTACACACGCACCATACCTTCTCGTTCAGCGCAAGCTTAACGTACTTGTCCGCGTCGCCGTCCTTGAGCGTCACCGTGACGGTGTCGAAGAAGGGCGCCGAGGGCACACCGTGGCCGAGCTTGGACGCTCCGGCAGCCAGCACGGAGGCCAAACCGTTGACGCGGCGCGCAATGGTCTTGAGGCCCTCGGGGCCGTGGTACACCGCGTAGAGCGCCGCCATGTTGGCAAGGAGCGCCTGGAGGTGCGTGGGGATGGTGGTGTTCGTGCACGGGCCGCGGTCGAAGGGTTTGGCAGATCGTGCCATCATGAGTCCGTCAGTGAACTCGGCAACGCGGGTACGAGTACGGATCAAAGTTACGCTAAGATAACGGTGTTTATCGTGGATGAGCGCCAGCCAGCTTAATGGCGATAATGGCGATGACAGGAAAGTTTTTTACGCGTAGTCCCAAGGGCCGATCTCTCTGAACTCTCAGGGTCTGTGGTTTTGGAGCTTTCAAGACAACAGAGACTGTGGAGTGCGAGATCTGCGGAAGTGCTTTTGATCATATAATCGCGCATCAGCTGCGTTGTGCGGATGACACCTCAACCCGCACCGTTATCCCGCATGCACCAGCATCTCTCGCGACTCAACACACGCCCTTCTGCCCTTCTCCAGGCCACCGCATGGATGACACGTTACATGGAAAAAATTCTCTTCTCGGTCTTTCTTGCGTTGTGCATGTCTACGTCCCCCTGGCACGACCTCTTCTTCCCGGCCCCTTACCTGCGCCGTGCAGATGTTGGACGTGGCCTTGTCACGACGGATGTGCTGCTCGCGGGTCTGCATGGCCATACGCAGAGCCGGCTTGCCCTGTAATGTGGTCAATCGTGGTGGGACAGGAAGTACGTGGAGTTAAGATCTTCGCCAACCAAAACAGGAAATCACCCAGAGCAGGGGAAAAGGAGGAGGACAAACGGCGAGAGGTGGGCAACGATTCTGTATATTGTTATGGAGGCATATCACGTTCCTTCCACATATATTTCCAGTAAACTCCAAGGACTTGCTAGTGAGCATACGTGTTGTGTACGTGTTGCATAAGTCTCGTACTCCCTCACGAAGCAACCATAACCCAGCGCACACAGACCGGTCGTTCAAAGTTCCATAATCGCAACACGCACAAACGGTCATTCGTTTGTTCTTTAATCACATCCACGTGAAACAACCACGCACCTGCGCATCGATGGACATGCCGATGATGCGACCCGGCATGAGGCGCTTGTACTCGTCATGGCAGGCCAGGAAGGCGGCGTGGGGGCCGCCATAGCCCATGGGCACACCGAACCGCTGCGCCGAGCCCACCACGATGTCGGCACCCCATTCGCCCGGCGGAGTGAGCATGGTCAGCGCCAACAGGTCCGTGGACACGCAAACCTTGACGTTGGCAGCATGGGCTGCGGCCACCAGGGCCTGTGGTGAGGTGCAGGAGAGGAGAGAAGAGCGGGTTTTACGGATTTGCATGGAAATAAAGACAGGTAAATGGTAATTTCATTCATGTGCTCGTGACTTTGGTGTCGTCACTTCGCCATCAACGCCCACATGAATGGTAGACTGGGGTTACGAACGCTGTCCTTAGGACATTGTGCGCATATGTGGCTGTAAATGGCGCTGGTTTCAGGCGTCGACAGGGCTCAGTAGTTATAGTTTATTAAAAGCTACCACCAGCGTAAGGTCTGGCTTTTCGGTTGTCGTCATAGCCCTGTCTGCCGAGTCGCTGAGACCGCCGCTGCCGCGCCATCCTTCCCGTGCACATGTCCAGGACCTCACGAACCTCACGACAATCCCCTTAGGCGAACACCAATACCGAATTGCACCCACATACGTAGCGCGTACGAGACTGTAGCACGCTAGTACATTACGTCGTCGCTGTGCACATGTCGTCCACCCCCGCTGGGGGAGTCATATGCCAAGTTCCGGCTTGGGAGGAAGCAGATTGCCGCATTACCCGCCATCGATTTACATCACGCGCTAGGCAGTCAGCGCGCCTGCCCTTGAGCCTTAGCCCCCCTTACTTCCCCTTGCCAGCTTTCGCCCTTTCCTCCCCGCCCATCCATGCGCACCCCAAACCATACGCACCCACCCCCCCACACACACCCAAGAGCACCCACACAAGAACGCACCTTGTAGTCCGACACAGTGCCATCCGTCGCGGGGTACTGCACCAACACGCCGCACACGTCCTTGCCGTACACGAACTTATCCTCGTCCGCCACCACCGCCTCCAGGCCAAGTCCCTCAGCGCGCGTCTGACACACCGCAATGGTCTGCGGGTGACACTTGCTCTGAGGGAAGGTGAGGGAGCGTGGGGCCCATGGCGGCGGTGGAGGTGTAAGCGTATCGGTCATCGGTGGAGGTGTAAGAGTATCGACGAGTCAGTGATCGGTCAGGAAATGGGGTTGGAAAAGGACGCGAGGACGGTGAGTCTACACCCCACCCCTCGATCCGGGGGAAGCGCGGGTTCGGTCCAAGCAAGGACAGGAACAGGCTTTCGCCGATAACACAACAATTACAGCAAGGCAACCCCCAAAGGCCAGTAGCTGGGGACAAGGAGGCAGCAGAGCATAAATGCACAAGGCAGAGACGCGCCTTCCTCGTGCCGACGCCGCCGTCCGGAAGAAAGAAAAGTGCTCACCTCCTTATAGAAGGAAACCGACCCCCTCCTCCCTAAGTCCTTTACTCCTTAGGACCTCAATCCCTAACCCCAGTCACGCTCCAGGGCCCAGCTGGTTCAGGACCTCAATCCCTAACCCCAGTCACGCTCCAGGGCCCAGCTGGTTCAGGACCTCAATCCCTAACCCCAGTCACGCTCCAGGGCCCAGCTGGTTCAGGACCTCAATCCCTAACCCCAGTCACGCTCCAGGGCCCAGCTGGTTCAGGACCTCAATCCCTAACCCCAGTCACGCTCCAGGGCCCAGCTGGTTCAGGACCTCAATCCCTAACCCCAGTCACGCTCCAGGGCCCAGCTGGTTCAGAAGCACTCGCAAACATATGCAACCACCCCGCCCATGTCCGCTGGCGTCGGCAGTTACTCCTCCCTTATTAATCCTTGAGCATGATTCCCCCTCCCCCGCCTTCACCACCGCCACGTAAATAAACACCCTTGGGCCTTCGGCGCGTATGGGTAGTCTTACAGGTACGGGGTCACGCACCCCCAACCATGTAACACACACACACACACAAATAAACACTCAGCAAAAACAGCAGCACACAGAACCATTGCAGCGTTCATTCACTCACCGACACGAGGAACTTGGGCTTCTTGCCTCGGGCCACCGCAGAGCACATGGTCATGGCCTCCGCAGCCGCAGTGGCCTCATCCAGCAGGGAAGCGTTGCTGATGGACATGCCAGTCAGGTCGCACACCATGGTCTGGAAGTTGAGCAGGGACTCCAACCTGAGTTGGATATGTGTGTGTGTATGTGTCATGGAGGGAGGGGCAGGGGAGGGAAGAAAGTCATGTGAACAAAGCCATCGAAACAACTCCTGCCCGGAAGGAGAGGCGGTGAGCGGGAGTAGAGACTGCACGGGTAGGGACCACACGGGTGTCCATAGGACCTACCATGACGGCCAGGGGGGGCTGACTAAAATTTCACCCCTCTCCCCCCCGCACGCGGCCTATTCTCCGAGAACCCCCAGGCGCTACACGCACCTGCCCTGCGCGATTTCCGCTTGGTACGGCGTGTACTGCGTGTACCATCCAGGGTTCTCCAGCACGTTGCGCAAGATAACCGGCGGCACGTGTACGTCGTAGTAGCCCATGCCCAGGAAGCTCTTGAGCACCTTGTTCTTGCCGGCCATGGACCTAAAACACCCCCGCACAAACAGGCAGATAAAAAGATAGGCCGACATACAGGGAAACAGGCCGACGGGCAGGCAGGCAGGCAGGACAGCTTCAGTGCGTGCGAGGACATAGACGCACACTGAGGTGTATGACATTGGGCAGAGCTCCGTATAATTAAAAACCCATAAGGGATTATTGGGCAGAGCTCGGACCGATCTACACTCAGGCCGGTGTAAAGGGAAACCCGAAGGAAAGAAAGAAGTTGTGGAAATACAGACAGACAGACACAGACCACCACCCCAAGACCACGACTATCGCCATCGGGAAGGTACGTCATCAGGGCGCCATCAGGTAATCGACTGGGAGTGGGAATAGGGCCACGCGGTGGAGTGGTGGCTGCCCGTCCTGACTAAATCGTTTCCAAATCCTGGCAGGTTATCAAGTTGTAGCTACACTGCACGGGACACTTTATTAACTACAGGCCCCGGTTCCGTACAGGCGACAGCTCGAGGCAGGAAAGAAGCTCAGGCCCAAAGGCGCAGCAGCAGTTTTCCTGCAGGCGCTTTCGTCCACTCCCATTGGTCCGCTCTGGACGGCGGCGTTCCGGACGATAATTTCGAGGCCAACAGCGACACCAGACACACAGATACCGTTACCTGTGCATACGTAAGATATACATGCAGACACACATCGCACCCCGCAGGCACACATAGGACTACACCCGCGCTCGAAAGCTATACGTACACATACGTGAAGAAAGCCCGTAGAGAAACACATGAGACGGTCGGCGACAGCCGCCGAGAGACATGGAGTAGCCGGCGGCATGGCACCAGCCGCACGTACAAGGGGATCCATTCACCCCACACACCCCAGCCCACCAACACAAGACCGAACGTACTGCACGTGGCCCCCATAGAGCTGCAAGTGACTGTCCTCCGAGTCCAAGCTCGTGACACGCAGCTTTCACTCCTTCTCTGTCGAAATCTAAGGAGGGCACAGCTCAGCCGAAGGAGGTACGTAGATGCAACCCCGCTAGCGAATGATGCCTTGATGCTCCCCATCTTCATTTCAGTTTATCTTGGTATCGCGTACAACTCCCCTTCTTGCTTTGCTGCTAACGCCCCCGCCCTACAACACCCACGTGTGCCTCAGGAAGATTTGGGAATGACCAGGCTTAGGGCCAGCCCCATGCCACCACAAGCGCGCATGCTTTAGCAGGTGGCCATGCTGCGAGGCTTTCCGCCCTGGGATTTCGAAACCAGCAATCCCGGAGCCCAGGAGGCGGCGTTCTGAATATCATTTTATGTCCAGAAGATACGGACTGTTCGGATACCTGGATCAGTCAGTGAATAGTGCCATGATTACTTCACCAATCTGGGTTACCAACGGCTTCAGATGGGAACCATTCCTCGGTAGCAAACGGCAGCCACTCGGTTGCTTGAATCGGGAGCGCCGTGGAGCACTCGAGCAAGTAAGAAGCTTTGACCTCGACAAGAGCGTATTTCGCAGTAAGCAAGGGCTTTTCAAAAACTTGACGGTCACCTCCCCTTTTCCTTCAGGTAAGGCCTGCCAGCATTCCAAACCTCGCGATGCAACTAACCCGCATGGAAGGCCACCAGCTAATTTCGCGTGGACTTACTTGAAGTAAGAGAGGAACTGGCTCTCCGTCATGCCCTCGTGGTACTTGCCCAGGTCCATGCCGTCCTTCCGGACGATGGCCTTGGGCACCGTCGCGTCGATTAGCGCATCGAGAGACGAGAAGCCCGTCATGTTAACCATCGCATCGATTTCCGCTGGGCTGCCACTGTTGTGGCGAGGCTTGAAGCTGTGGTTAACAAGCAGCGGAAAGGGGCGACCCAAATCCACATCGGTGACCGAGACCGTGTCACGCAGGGGAACCCGACGTGGTAAATCATCAGCGCCCGAACAAGGCGTATTACACATACTTAACTTCAGTACTTTCCTATTATTTATCGTAATACTTACTCGTCGCTTGGCAAAAGGGCGTCCACCGCGATAAACCGAACACCGCTTGCAGCAAAGCTGCTCGGCAAGATCGTGCTTGCATGGCTCAGAGCACCTAAGGCACGTACAGATGAACAAAGAGAAAGAAATGAATTAACTGATAAGGCACAGAAGTGCCGGGACGTCTTGAGGATCTTCAGCCAAGTAAATGCCACCAACACACGGTACACGTGTCAGGTGTGACAAGGAAATGCTACACATACCAAGCAAGCAAGTTGACTGTGTGCTAAGCAAGCGTGCGTTGTTGATGTCGAAGAGCTTCACTGCTTCATGCACAGCGCCAGACCGGCTCTGAGCAGCTTGGCCAACGCCCCGCAGCAACCGAGCTGCACGCCTCATGCTGTCCGATCTAACAATCGGTGACGTTTACAGTTGAACCAAGGCGAAAGCGACTGATCAGTTCGGGTCCAAGCTCCAAATTTTGGATGCCGACTTGTCGTATGGTGGTATACGGCACTTGCCGAACCTACCATGCAATTTTATTACAGCTGCGGGATCAATCTTTTACAATTTCCAATGATACTTTGCAGTGTCTGACCATGAGGACCAGCATCGGGTTCTTAAAAATCAATTCTAATTGTCGAGTCCTTTTCCTAGTGAAAAATTTCCAAGTAGCTGGGGATGCTGTCTATGTGATGTTAAGGATTTCATACCGCTGCAAGTCTGCACACTTTTCTTTTGATCCGCACCCGTTGTGAGAGCCTTGGTGACACTGATTGCGGTACCTTTGGAAAAAATCGTGAGATATGGACAGTGAGCAGCAAGCTTCATGGCTAATTCGTATCGGACTTGTCCGCGCCACAGCTATCGGTGTCCATGGTCCAACGCTATGAGACCTTTACTGATGTATCAACATGTGCTTGCTATTGTGGTGCCCTTGCCTGCCAATGCGCACGAGTGTTTTGTTGTTCCGAGTTGTAGACATGTTGACACTCTGTGGAGACTTCGGAATACAATTCAGGACCCGCTCCGGCCCGCATAGGTTTGATGGCTCGTCAAACACAATCCCAGCGTACTGCATGTCAGTCAGCATTCATAGTAATGCATGACAGCATCTTTACGGGCGCACTGGGCATCCAACAGAGATGCGCACCGAAGGCCCAGGGCAGCTGTGTAGATGCGGCGCGGTACAAGAGTTCAGCTGAACTCTGGGATACTCTGGGGGCGCTCCAAGCGTTTGTGCAGCAGTCCAGGGATGATAGCATGGTGCATGGGTCATCCATTCCATCGTTATCAGGGGTGATTGTTACGTGGAGAGTTTTCGTGTGTATTCCTCATTTACAGGTGCGTTATTTATAGGTGTGCAGTAGTTTTGTGAGTAGTTTTGTGTTCGTCGTTTCCCGTCCGCTCTTTCCTTTGCTTCTTCCGTCGTCGTGAAATGGAGGAGTTTAGTCTTGTCCAGCTACAGAATGACACTTACTGTTGTGGGTAATCCATGAGTAGAGTAGGAAACTGGGTCAGCATGCAAAGCATATATCAACTTGCATAGCAAAGTTGCAGGCATGCATTGTTATGGCTGCGACACTGTGAATCTGCGCTCTGAAGTCCACCAATGTCCACAACTTTCGCATTTCGTTTACCGGTAAATAACACCAACCGAATCACCTATTAGTTTTGCGCAGAATAACGGTAGGCCGGCATCAAACGCCGGAAAACGCATATCTACGGTTAAGGGAATTAATTTCTGTCCTAGAGGACCTCTGTTCTGTGGGATGCAGCAAGTCCGCCTTTTCGTTCGTTATCATCAGGATCAGGGGCGAACCAGGCCCTTCTGGCGGCCCATCGGGCCGCGTGCGGGGCAAATGTTTCGAGTATGCAGGTTTGATTGATCCTAGTACTGAGTTCAGGGACCGAACTTCCATTGCGGGAACTTTGGTACGGCACGAAAATCCCAACGCGTTTGCCGTTGTATGGCAGGCGGCACTTGCAGCTGGAGCTTACGATAATTAAGATACGGTTTTGCTATGGGTGCAACAATAATCATAGAGAGAACTATGACAGCTGCTAACGGTTCGTAACCTGTAACCAGCAACAGGCATACAACCAACAGTGGACGGGAGAACAACATTTAAGCCGCAGACGGTGAATAACGCATAAGCTCTTATGATGCTTCCAATAAGGAAATGATAGTTCAGACTCCTCTTCACGAATTAGAGCAAGAAAGCCGAAATTTGACCCTGTCGCCTGTTGCAAGCAGCACCGCCGGCTTTTTAAGTAAGCAACAAGGCCGCGCGGATTATTTTCTTTCGGCACTATTTTGCCTTGCTTTTCCGAACAGGTGAAACTTGAACCATGAGTGGTGCCTCTGAACTGAAAAAAGCGAACATGGTCCCTGTTCATGCCATCTTTGCCGCCTTCCCCCACGGAAAGTACCGGCCCTCCTTCGACGGCTTGCGGACCCAGGACAGGGTGCTTCAGTCGCCCTGGCCTTCCTCTCCCTTCATACCAACCAGCGAGGACCCGGCTGGACCCAGCAGGCGCTCGCACGGCTACTGGACTGGCTGACCGCGCCATACGTTACAGCATCGCCGAACAGAGCGGCCCATAAGCCTGTTGGCCCGCCTCGAGACGCAAACAGCCACGGTGGGCTGGCAAGGACGGCTTTGGAACCGGGATGTGGCCTAGGGCTCGCACCCAGAGCGCTGAGCTTTCCACCGCACCTACAGCCGCAACTGCGTCAGCTGTTGGCCGCGCTGCCACGCTGTCCCAAACTGTACGACAGCCTGGACGAGCACAGCCGTCTGCTGCTGCATGACCTTTTGTCGGTGCTGCCGCGGCGTTGTGCCATGGGCACTACTACGCCTGCTCTTCATGGCGCGGGGGCGGCGGCGGCGGCGGCGGTACGGCAGCTCCATGGCAGCGGCGGATCCGGAAGCCACCCCCGGCCAGGGGCGGCGGGCGCTGGAGCGGAGTACCAGCGGCGCGACAGCGGCCGACGGACTGTGTACATAGGGCCCTGGATTCGTGCGGCACTGGAGGCATCGCGGTTGCGGTTTCAGTCCTCAGTCCCGCCCCCGCCGCCGCCGCCGCCGCCGTCGCCGTCGCCACAGGTAGACGTGGCGGCAGCGCCGCCGGCGCAAGATCCCTCGGCTTCATGGCCCGCTGAACGACGCGCACCTCTGGAAACCGAATTTGTACCGCAAGCCGACGCGCCGCACAGGGTGACGTTGCCCCATAAACGAAAGCCAACAGCGGGCGGTGACGGAGCCAGGGATCTCCGTGGCGTTCCGTGGCGCCCCTCGAATGCCGGGGGGGTCGACGCCGCTGCTGCTGCTGCCCATGGCGACATGGGTTTCCCTAAAAAGGATGCGGGTTGGTGGTGGATCCCGGATCTAGATCTGGATCCAAATTTGGATCTGGACAGGACCAGCCGAGGTAACCCACAGGATCGATACGAATCCGGATACGCCCTGAATCCAGATCTAGTTACGGCTCCCGGATTACCCGGTACCGGTTCTGCATCTCAGACGGTGCCACCGGCGCCGTCGACGCCAGGCGCGCGCGTGGATGATGATGTCTGTGCCCGCCGATGGGGCTGGCGGCAAGACCGTAGCGACGGGGGGCTACCGTACGGTCAGCGGCCAGCGCGTCCATCAGAGGCTTCGGTTTCGGAGCTGCGAAGAGCGAGGGAGGAGCGGCAGGAGGCGCTCTGTACTTCCAGTACGGTCACTGAAGATGACGGGGCTGACGTGGCTGGGGAAAAGAACACCGAAGAGGAGGACCAACGGCAACATCAGCGAGTGGCGGTTCAGAAGCGGACGGAGGAGGAGGAGGAGGAGGAACTGGGTGTCGACGGGCCGCGTGCGAAACGGCCCAGGACGGGGATTACAGCCGCGGTGGCGGTGGCGGCGGCGGCAGAGCCAGCTACGCTGCCTCTGGGCACGGCAGCTGATGATAACACAACGGCGGCGGCGGCGGCGACAGCGGGGACGACGGTTGATCCCAAGGCGAGCATGGAGAAGTTTCTTCGTGCTCTTCAGGTGGATGGAGGGAGGAAGGGGGGAAGGGAGGGAGGGATGCAAGGCACGTTTCTTCCCGTCACGGCTCCAGGGAAGGGGAGATGTGGCTCCTTCCTCGCCCCCCCCCTTCCCCGCGAAATCCGCAACCCATACGGCACCGCACCGTCACCTAGGCATAGGTTCTCGGCTGCGTCTTGCGCCACTGTCGTCTTTCTCCTCTCATCCTCCTCCTCGCTCTGCGCTGCGTTGATGGTATGGTTGCGATATGAGGTATCGTACAGGAGGTGATTGGTGGCGGCGGCGGCGGCGGTGATGACGGCGGCGGCGGCGGCGGCTTCGGGCGCGCCGCCGCGCCCTCGGAGGTCACCTCGTGGCGGCACCTGGAGACGCTCCTAGAGCAGTGTGCTGCAGCCGGCGGTACGGCGGCAGTCATGGCCAGCGGCGGCGACGGCGTCGATGGCCGGAGCTCCGCAGCGGCGGCCTTTCCACCGGACGTTGTACGGCACATCATGCGGCAGCTTCTGACGCCGCGGCTGAGTGGCGCGGCCGCGCGGATGTTGCTGAGTGTTGCCGTACTACCGGCGGTGGCGGCGGTGGAGCGAGTAATGCCGCGGCCTCTGCAAGAGGCCTTGGCCGCTGCGGCAGGTACGGATAAACCTGGAAAAGATTGTCGCACATCGTCGTATAAATGTAACGCCTATAGTAGGTGATGGAATAGAACCCTGTATGCTTCCTAACGCCGGCCGGTGGGCAGGGCTTTGGATGAAGAACGATCCAACACAACACAATACAACAACACAATCGTTTTGGCCCCCGGCAGGCGGGGCCCATCCACGGGCGCTGACGGAAGCCGTACTCATCCCTGCCGTACAATGGCCCCAACTGACTCCTGGTCAAGCCCAGCTCCTGGTCAAAGCAGTCACTGCGGGCAAGCCGCCGCTGCCGCCGCCGCTGCAGGTCTGTGGTGTGGCGCTCAGTGTGCGTCGGGAGCTTTCGTGCTGCAGCCACTATGTATATGAGTACATATATATTTAGTTCTATGTCTATGTATGTATATATGTATATGTGTATTATATATACTGTCTCGGAGTTGATTTTCCCTTCTCTCTTTCTTGCTCAGAGTCTTCTCCTCCGTGCCTCATCCGCGTGTGGGTCTGTGTGGAGTGAGCCCCACGTGACGTTGGTCCACGGGCTGCTGGAGGCTGCTGGGGAGGGACTGGACCAGGTACGCCGACCACTGGGTGCATGTATGTATGTATCTATGTATGTATGGATGGATGGATGTTGCTTGCTGAGGCCTCTCTGGGTGGTCACTTCCTGCCACTGTGTTTACCATTTCTTTTCCCCCAACCAGTCATTCCCCTTCCTCTCTCTCTTTCCCTCTCCCTCTTCCTCTTTTTTTGTTTCTTTTCTTATCTCTTTCTCCTCTTCGTAAGTCCTATCTCTCTAATCCAACCTTCTCCCCCCCCTCATCCCCATCTGCGTGTGCCGCCCCGGGTGAACCTCCCCTCTTCCCCCCAAACGGCAAACAGGTCGCATTGGGATTGTTATGTCAAGGACTGCACGCCGCAGTTCGCAGCAACGACAACCCACACATCCAGGCAGGCATGACCCGCAGTGTACCGCTCTGCCGCCTGCTGCTGAGCCTGCTGACCAAGTACGGCAACCGGCTCAGTGTCGTACAGCTACGGCAGCTGCAAGAAGCCGCTGCCGCCATGTCCACCTTTATGACGAAACCCTGCATGGTGAAGTTGCAGGAGCTGATGGTGGCGGCGGCGGCGGCGCCGGGTGCTGGTGCTGTCGATGGCGGTGTTGGCGGCGCGTGGGAGCTGTAAGGAGTGGGGGTCTGGGAGAGTGTGGGGAAAAGGGAAGATCGAGACGGCGTGTTCTTCCTTTAGAAGGTTTTTGCTGGAGGGATTTATCTTGAGTGATTTAGCGACGACAGCGACGACTGTCGCAAGGGAGGCGGCGGCGAAGTCGACATCCTGCGGAATGGAGTACCCGCTGACGCCTGATGAGCAGGTTGAGGGTGCGAAGCCACAAGGTTCCTCCGTTGTTCCTCCTTGTTCCTCCCTGACACAGCAGACACAACATTTCACGGATCGGTGTGGTTTTCAGAAAGAAACTGTCCGTCGAAAAGAACCCCTGTTGGGGAGTGAAATAGAACATGAAACCGTATGCTGACAAGCAGTGGGAGCAAGTAGGCTTGTGACCGCGTGCCTGTTGAAGAATGAGCCGGCGACTTATAGGAAGTGGCTGGGTTAAGGAGTAAAATCCGGAGCCCAAGCGAAAGCGAGTCTGAAGGGGAAGAACTAAAGTATCTGTATCTGTTACATATCGAACCGGGCCTGACGCTGGCCAGGGGCACCTAACAGTAAAAAACCCCAACGGGAATGAGCGACCGCCGAAGCACTCTCCCCTTAGCGGCGGGAGGAGGAGAAGGGCGTGAGCGGGGGCCCACAGCCCCCTAGTACTGCTCGTCCCAGGGCGCGCGACTCTGTGTCTCTACCTAATGTCTCCATGATGAAAGAGCGCGCGTGTGTATATGCGCGCACACACACGCACACACCGCTTGAGAGTAGACGCTACCTAACTGCGTAATGCTGCCTGGCCCACAGAAGCGCTTTTTATTCATGCACAAACTGCGGACTAAAGAAGAAATGCCAGTTCCTTCTTCCAGTACGCCACGTGGCGCACACTGGTCGCACATGCGCCTACACATTCCCAGGTATACCAGTGACCACAACAAGAACAACAATAATGACTACTAATACCAAAAGAAAACTTTACTTCGAACTCGATACTAATTAAACACGAAACACTGCTGTACATTACCCCTCTTCACGTCGCAGGGGATCTGTCAACACAACCTAATGCTATATATTATACACGTGCGTGACTGACAACTACAGCTTTTGCCATTGCGCTAACCTCCGTGCGCAAAAGCAATCTTTTCGAAGCTGTGCTAAGTGCGCTTCTCTTCCAGTTGATCCTCATTTATTATTGATTTAATAAAAAGTACACATATGTAAGAACTCCTAAGCAGCACAGCCGTGCACAACGAAGGAACGCGACAGCAGAGACTGATAACGAGGCTTGTAGAATTGGGCTCCGAGGAAGGAAAAGAAAAATGAAAAACATTTAATCCCGGGCTTCGAGTACGACACCCTGTGCAACCGTACCGTTCATTACTTCTCTTTTATTTACTGTGATCTGTTATTTAATTTTCTATCCCCCCAGCAACAGCTAGCAACTAGCAGCATCCATTTAATGAAAACTCCAACCAATGAAAAACGCCGAACCATTCCTAAGGCTCTTCAAACCCTAAATTCCCTCGGGCCCGCGTCCATATGAAATTTCTCTCTTTGCTCTGTCTTATTATATGCGGGGTTCCCATCCCTTCCCATCGCCCAAGAATTATAGCACGTATGCGGAGGCATGTACGGAAAAAACACGCTTTCCTTTACGTGCGCTTCCTGGTCGGTGGTCGAAGAGTGGTTATAGTCGTTGTGGTGAGTAGAGTGCCCAAACGGATTTAGAACCGAAAAACCGAATTCCGGCTCACGTGCCCCCTCGTGTCGCGTGTCGCTAGGACGATCGTCGCTCGGACCGCTGCTCAATGTATTCCATCACCCTCATCTCGCTGCTCCCACAATCACCGCCATCCCCAGCACTGCCACCACCACCGCCATCATCGACATCCCCGACCCATAAAATCACCTCTCCATTCGGAATTCAATCTTGTTGTGTTGGGCAACCAACAAGGGAGGTTCTGCTTTACGCAAATGATAAAAAACATGGGGGCGTGACATCTTATCCCTCATGCCACAGCACGTCACAACATCCTCCTGCATTATACAATTTTTTAAAAAGCCCGACCACAATATTAAAACGATAGCAACCCAGTTGCCGTACAGCATATGTCGACATGGGGGGTATCACCACGAGCTGAGCAATGCCCGAATGGCGTCAGACCCCCCGGCCGCTACCTCACTGCCGTTGCCCTCGAGGAAAGAAGCCGCCGCCGTCGCGGTCCATTCCTCCTCGAACGTGTCGTACGGCACCGGTGGCGGCTGATCCGCCAGCCGCCGAGCACGCTTCGGCGCCGGCGGCGGCACCGGCAGAAAGCCGAAATGACTTCCGTAGACACCGCTGACGTCCGCGGCGGCGGCGGCGGCGGCTGTGCGTGCAACGGCGGGTGCGGCTCTGCCGAATCCCGAAGCGTCTCTGGTGCCGATTCTTTTGCTATTGGCGACACCACCGCCGCCGCTGCCGTACAGAAAATCCTTATCGCTTTCGTACCCCTCCACTCCGGCGGGCGCCGCCATGCAGAAGCCGTCGGCGCCGTCAGCTGACCTTCCAGCGGAGGCGTCTGGACATGGCGGTGGCCGTGCTACAGCTGCTGCCGCCGTCGTCGGCGTCGCTGGCAGCGGCACGGGCGTCTCCGCCTCCGCCATCACTGTTGTACTGCTGTGAAACGGCGTGTAATGATGTGGAGTTGCTACAGCCGCTTTGCCATGCGGGGCCGAACGCGCGCGGCTCGGCTGCAGCTGCGGCCTCCAGGCCTCAGAGCCCACATCGCCAGCGCTACCGCCGCCGCCGCCGTCGCTGCTACTGCCAGTCCCTGGGCCCCTCGGAAATGGGAACGCCAGAAGTCCGATAGCCGCCATGCCGATGGACTCAACGACAGCCTCGCTAAAGGACCGAGCAAGCTGTCGTACAGCGCCAAACGGCGGACAGACCCGTGGGTCCACGCCAATCGCACTCGCCTCTTCCTCCCAGAGCGCCCAGCTGTTGTTGCTACTGCCGCTGCAGAGGCTGCTGCCGTCGGCCGGCGGATGCGCCGCCGAGCTGCTGACTGGTGCTGCTGCGCTGTTGTCAGTGGCGGCGGCGGCGGCGGCGGCGGCGGGGATGGAATTATCAGGAGTTAAGGGATCACGGTCCTCTTGCAACGAGCGCGACTGCGTAAGGGTTGTTGGCGCGGCTGCTGTTGGCGACGGGCGCTTTGGCGGCGGCGGCGGCGGCGGCGGCGTTATGGCTTCAGCCGCCGCCGCCATGTCTCGTGGCTGCGCTGCCGCCTCGACAGCTGCCGGTAGCAACTCATGAACGAACGGCGAAGTCGCATCAGCCGCTATGGCGGCAGCGCCAGCTGCAGCCCTGTCGACTGCCGCGTCGGTTAACGTCGACGGAGGCGCATCCAGCTCTGCTGCTGCCGCCGCCGCCGCCACTGCTGCCGTACACGCCTGCAGCGCTCCAGGCGCATCACAGGTTAAGAACGTGAGGAGCTGCTCCTTGCCGCCGACAGCCTCAAGGAAGCCGAACAGCCGGCAGAACGCATCCGCAACCTCCTGTGAGCTGACGGCGCCCTCCGCCGCCGGCGCAGCGTCACTGTACGACAACACTGCCGCCAGGTCGTTCAGCAGCGGCACCATGTGCTCCTCCCACGCCCACGCCGCCGCAGCCGTCAGCTCCGGCGGCAGCGGCCAAATATCGTTGTACGGCCCCTGCGATGATGCCCACAACGCGGTCAGTCCCTCCGCCGCTGCCGCCGCTGCAGCTGCCGTACTGTACGGGAGCGATGCCGTACGGGTTCCGGAAGCCGCAATCCGGGGGGTGCAGCTCCGAGTAGGCGACGCCGCCGCTGCCTTAGGAGGGCCTTGTGCCATCATCAAGGTAAAGAGAGGGTGATCTAAAGACGACGTGCCGGGCCCGGCCCCGGAACTGTTGACGTCATCAACGGCGGCGGCGGCGGCGGCAGCGGCGGCGCCGCCGACGGACGACACGATGGCCGGGAGGAGCTGCCGCAAGCGCTCTGGCGGAACCCCAGGAAGACCCTCCCGTACAGAGTCGGCAAAAATCTCCCGCAGCTCCGGAACCACATGCGGCGGCAGCACCAGCAGCGGCAAACTGACCAGTGGCGAGGACGGCGGCGGCGGTAGTACGGCGCCGCTGGCGTCTTTGCTCGCGGCATCCTCCGCCGCCTCCGGCAACAGTCTCAATCTCAGCACACCAGGTCGCTCGCGCGCGGGAACGTCTATGCTGCGAGGTCAGTTGGTTGGGTTGGTTGCTTGGTTGGTGAACAGCATGTGCATGATAAAAACATAATCAACCAAGAATTCTTATATATAATCTAATGCAAAACGGACTGAATATTTTATCTATATGACCAGAATGATGAATATGTCAGCGGCAAAACTGCTCTCGGGATTCGGTAAACCAATCGCGGTTTGGTCCCGTGGTGCCGTATTCCAACATCAACCGAAACAACCGCCATGATGCAGGGCAGCAACCGCCAATCACAACGGTCAAGAATTTCACAAAAGTTGACACTTGACAGGATTTTGCGTCGTCCTGCGCGGGCTCACCTTACGAAACACGAGACCCCCGAAGACGGGACGCCGTCTGACTGGATTGATCTCGCTCCCGGCCCCCCGCTGGCCCCCACACGCACGCCACGGCTGATGTCGAACGCGGCATCAGCTGCCGCCGCCGCCGCCGCCGCCGCTGCCGCCGCCGCCGCTGCCGCCGCCGCCTGTGGTTCCGGGCCCTCCGACAGCCTCAGCAGCACCTCTTTGCTGACCACCACATCCTCCTCCTTGGCGAAGGGGAGGTTACCATCGGCTCCGGAACCCTGCTCAATGACCAGCCTGTGCCGTGTGTGCCCAACAAGTACTTAAGTCAGTGAGTGTGTATGTTATGTATGCATGCATGCATGTACGGGCCCAACCTGGGTTTGAACTTCAGTTCCTTCCCTAGAGGTTCTTATTCTTAAGGGCGACAATAATAATCAGACAACAACAATAATCTCTATATGCCACCTATACCAGGCTCAGAGCCAACGATGCCGTCATGGAATCAGCCCCACGCCCCAGCTCAGCGAGCCCCGTCAGCTCACATGTATATTATGTCTGTCTGTCTGTCTGTTTGTCTGTCTGTCTGTTTGTCTGTCTGTCTGTTTGTCTGTCTGTTTGTCTGTCTGTATTCATATGAACCGATAGTTCAGTCCTTGCTGCCGAGGTCCACAAGGTCCACAAGAGCAAGGAAACGTACACAGACCAGCATGCGACACACCAGGACAGGACAGGACAGGATAGGGCCCCTATCATAGGGGACAACGACCCACAAATAAAGGGAAGCTGCCCGACGGACTTACTTGCATCGAACTGTTGTCGCCAGGTCGCCAGGTACCGCCGCCGCCGCCGCCGCCGCCGCCGCAGTCGCCGCCGCCGCCGCCGCAGTCGCCGCCGCCGCCACCGTCAGCGAATGTATGTATCCACACGCGCTGTCCGCTGCCGCCCTCGCAGAGGCCGTTTTAGCTCCCCCGCCACCAGGCGACGGCATCAGGGTGCAGGATGAGGAGCAAGAATAAAAGCGGGGCGGAAGCAGCAGGACACCGACACCGTCGACGACATCATCTGCGCTCGCCCCTCCGCCTCGGCCTCTGCCGGGGATTACTGCAGACGCGGAAGATGCGAGGGGGATTGGAATCGGCCGCGGCGCCGTCGGCTGTAGCAGCGACCCGTCCTCCTCCGCCTCGCGAACGTCAGCTACCCCGACCGGCGGCGCACCCTCCTCCCCCCCTCGCATCGACATCGGTATCGGCAGCGGCATCAGCATATCTCCAAGGCTCCGAGCTGCCTGTACCTCTTCCACCTCCGTCTCCGCTGCCACCGCCGGCGTTGCCGCCGCTGCCGCCGTCGCTGCCGCCAGCACAGCGCCCGCAGCGCCGAATTCCTTGCCAGCAGCACCCGCCGGCGGCGGCGGCGGCGGCGGCGGAAGCGGCGCGAACGCTGCACTGAGAAAGGGACTTGCGCAGGTCGGCAGTAGCATCAAGTAGTCGCCCCCGCCGCCCCCGCCACCTCGCCCACCTCCAGAAACAGCCTCGCCTCCCGGACATCCCGCCAGCAGTTGATTCCAGCCGCCGGGATCCTCCAGGGCCCGGGTCTCCAGGGCCGCCACCGTGTGGTGAAGGCGCAGCCGCCGTTGTCGAGGTCCTGTGTTCCCCTGTTCAATCCTGTTAGAGCTATCACAGATGACACCGGCAGGCTGCTGCTGCTGCAACTGGCCCTCTCTCACTTGATAATCTTGCTGATATTGACGTGCTTGCGGCTGCGGCGGCGGCGGCGGCGGCTGCATCAGCAGGTCCGGCGGCGCAGCAGCGTCAGCCTCCACAGCGGCCGCAACTTCGCCTCGGTCCGATGCGCATGCGGATGTGGACGCCAAAGAGGCGCTCGGTCCTGCGGGTGGCAGCGCCGGGCCAGCGAATGGAGAGGTGGAGTCGCAGGGACTCACAGGCAGTAGCAGCAGCCGTTGCGGCGGCGGCGGCGGCATCAGGGACGACATGGAGGGCGGCGGTAGGTTGTTGCCGCTGCCGCTGCCGCTGCTCGGCGGAGGCGCGGCTGTGCTGTTGCCGCTGCTCCACAAGACCGGCGAAGATGATATCGAAGCAGGCGACGGCAGCAGCGCGCTGTCATGATGCTCCGTCGTGGATATCGGCGGCAGCGGCAGAGGCAGCGGCAGCGGCGGTAGGTCAGCATCATCGTTCGGGAGTGACGCGTACGAGGCCGCCGAAGCAAAAAGCGGATCTTCTGAAAAAAGAGATCTGAAAGCAGGAAAATTCCGGCTATTATCGCATATCGCGATACTGTTAATATTCCCTTGTCGGGCGCGGTCGCGGCTTGGGCTGCAAAGATGGCTGCCGCTTTTGGCGGCTAAGTCGGGAACCGCATCTGTCGCAGGTTCTGGAGCTGATGATGTCGCTGATGCACTTGAGCCTGGAGAATGATCTGTCCTAACTGGTGACTGTAGACGCTGTAGGCGTAGCAAGAGATGGACCTTGCCGTCCGCACCAGTTGTAAGGAAGGGCGGCCACATGAGCACCGCCTGCGCGACCGCGGGCTGATCCTGCTGTTGGTAACTATGTCGCGATAGCGATGTTGGCAGCAGAGTTTGTTCCCTGCGGGCCGCCTCACAGCTGCTGCAGCAGCAGTCTTCATGACAACAACCGCGAGGGCACCAGCCGCTTTCGTCAATCTGCATAATGCCAATATTCCACTGTTGGCGGTCTTGATTATGTGTATGACCCTTGTTGTTGTTGTTGTTGTTGTTGTTGTTCTTATTGTTGTTTTTTTATTGCTGTTGCAGTTGTTGCTGCAGCTGCAAAGGAGTTCCTCGCTGGTCTTGCTGCTGTCCTTCTTGGCGGGAAGCGGATGCCGGAGGCAAATGTCTTCGAGGCAAACCTTGCTCAGGTCGCAAAGATGCAACGTTTGCAAGTAACTAAATCCAGGAAGTAGGACGCCGTGAAAATGGTTTAACAAAATCAGCTGTAAACAAACGAGAAGGAGAAGTTGGCAAGGATCATACCCTCCGGCTTCGAATGCAGAGGAGTAATACCATTCATGTTTCGGCAGGACACATGCGGTCATAAAGTTCTTTCAATGAGTATCGGGCGACTGCTGGAAACTGGGGGTCGTCCCAAATCCCGAGACCATCCCGGGACCCGTTGGTCGAAACGTACGGAAATCCCATGCATCGTCAAGGATCGCCATCCAGCTAGCATTTCACCGCTAGGTAAATCTTCTCCTTATAGGAATCTCGTCTGTTCGGAAAGGTTTCCTCGCACCGCGACCGCAACGCTGCCGGCAGGACGATTCACCTCGGTCAGACGACTTCATCCTCACCCTGAACCATCCAGGAAAATGGTTTAGCATTGCGAGGAGTGCTTTCAAAGTGCTTTAACGGAATCCCTTTCCACTCCAATTAACCTGCCTTCCTTTTTGAAATAAAGCGGTTCATTCGAAAAGATGCGCGCAGACCCATGGGTCGCTTCCTGTCACACCATCCCGGAATAAAACTGATTGGACTGATGATAATAATGATGGGGAGGAATCCAAGCACAAAAATTGTCAAGTTGCGGTACCTATCAACTGCGAACCTCAAAAATGTGACAGGTGGTGGTGGCCGTGGTACACCTTTCGTATGTGGGTTGCTATGACGGAAAACATTTTATGGTTATGATAGCGGTGCACGACATGCAATGTGAGCAGCGTGCATGCCGGCTAATGTGCTTGCATGCGTCCATGCCCGCAATATGCTTGCATCCGCGCAATATGCCGCATTGCCCCAAAGGAATCGTGTTCCATATATATATCCGGGGGGAAGCCCGAGTTTATTGCACGTAATAATTACAGCCTTGCCAAATGAGTGACACCCCCCATTCACGTGCGCTCCGAAACCACACTCCGCAAGAACCCCAACCCACCGGGCCGGTCGGACCCCCAAGTGCCATTTTAAAGGTTTAGAAACCCATTGTTCTTGTAGTAACATCTACATCCTCTAGTATTTTTACGACATCATCACCTCGTACGAGGCAGTCAATCCTCTTCTCGATTACGGACTTCGCAAGCTGCAGCCTGGTGTGCGCATTTCCTAGCATATCCTAGCCAGGGTGGAGTTGCAGGCAGGTTTGATTGAGTGAAGTAAATCACAGAAGTGGGCGGGCGGACGGCGCCTGGTGTGACCCTGACCTCATGTAAAACACTTACAAATTGTTGCCAGCCGGACCCCGAATTTCAAATATCTCAAGAAGTGCTAGGGCACTTTCCCGGGTGCCGCAAATTCATCTTTAAACGGATAATAGCTGGCCTATAGCATTAGCAGCTACTGCGGCGATGGCTCCGTTTTTGCCGTACAAAGAGTAGGGTAGTTACAACGAACACATCTTAGAGCCGCATGATGACGGCGAGGTGATCAGGATTGGCCTTGCGGGTGGACACACACCCACCGGAGCACACGGAGGGGGGAACCAACACAACCCACGAGGCCTGAGGGTGGCCCTAAACGAACTCTCCGGAGGTCAGTACGGCAGTACGGCATGTGGATGCGCCCTCATGCGAGGCAGGCACGCAGGTGTGCGCCCCATTTGTGTTACAGAAAACTCTATATATGTATGTATGTATGTATGTATGTATGTATGTATGTATGTATGTATGTATGTATGTATGTATGTATGTATGTATGTATGTATGTATGTATGTATGTATGTATGTATGTATGTATGTATGTATGTATGTATGTATGTATGTATGTATGTATGTATGTATGTATGTATGTATGTATGTATGTATGTATGTATGTATGTATGTATGTATGTATGTATGTATGTATGTATGTATGTATGTATGACGTTGATTACACTGTGGGCTGAAAAGCCGGGGGCCCAGGGCCGAAGCACAGCGCGGGGGGCGGGTGCATACGGCTGGTTAGTCTCATGCACTCCGCCCCCGGGTCAGGCCGCACGGGAAACGACGGCCGGCACGCAACAGCGCTTGTTTGGCGCTCCAACTAGACGGGATCTATGCCCGTTGGTCTCCTAACATAAACGAAGTCGCAACTGGGGGGCTCTTCCTGCCGACCGAACGAACCGAGCATCTCAGAGAGCTCGCTACCAGGACTTGGGCGACCGGGAGCCCGACGAGTCTTCCCGGGCTGGGGAGGTCACCAAGCTCAAAAATCCTCACGCAAAAAAGAGCGCAAAGAGCTCACACCACAAGACGCCAAACAGCCTCCTGAGACTACTACCCTCCTCCGCCTCTCCCTCCCTGGGCTAGTCCAGGGGAGATAGCCCCCGTCGAGGGGGTAACACCGCACAAGTCCGCGCCCTTCCACAGCACTGGGTCTAAATTGAAAAGTACTCAAACGGGAAGACCCTGCGGCAACGCAGGGCGATCAAGCCTCCGGAAACCACAGGGGGGGGATGTATGTATGTATGTATGTATGTATGTATGTATGTATGTATGTATGTATGTATGTGTGTGTGAGAGAGAGAGAGGGGGGTGATAGTCCACACATGTCCACATCATGCATTCATGAAAAAAAATAGGTGTATTATTGAGTGTATACGCGCTGCCCAGATCTGGTCACCTGCCCCGCACATATCGCCCAACCTCATCAATGCCCTGCGACCTCAATCCCCTCCGGTCAAACACGGCATACACGGCCAACACAAAAACGTCACAGACAGCGTTTTGGCGGAAGCAGTGTTCCCTTCACCCTGCAGCAGCAGCAGCAGCAGCAGCAGCAGCTCTCACAAAGTGTTGTCGCCCACCACCAGTCTGAAATCGTCAAACGACCGCTCCAGGTCATGGCTGCCATCCGCCACGGAGGCCTGCCGCTCAAGCAGCTCCTCTAGCAGCAGGCGGCTGCTCTCGTCCATCGAGTCGTACGGCAGTACTGGCTCGTCCGCTTCGACAGCCTCCCGAAGCACCTGTCGGGGTTGTTTGGGGAGTTGGGGGGCAGAAAGATAGAGCCGTACAGCTCCTGGTTGGAGAACGGGGCAGACCCCATGCACGAGGGGTTAGGTGGGTGGCAGGCGGCAGGTGGTGGTGGTGGTGGTGGTGGGATCCTGTGAAGGCACATGCCGAATTAAGCCGAATTAAGGATGACAGCCCCGGACTTAGCCCGATAGCTCCGGTTTCTGCATATAATTTAGTACGACATGCGTGCTGCTGAAAAATATAAATCATTTCGTATTATTATGTTTTCCTTAAACCTATATATCTAAAACTTGTAGGGGTTGGAGGTAGGGAGGAAGAAGGAAGCGCAGATGCATGGGTGTGGCGAGAGCTTTTTTATTATCCATTTCTAATTAAAATTTATAGCTATATTTATAGCTACTTAACAAAAAATACTGAATATAATTTAGATATTGATCATATATATTTGTGTTGTCGGTAAAAAATATTTACTGTCTTACATTTTATTTTTTTTGTTGTGCGCGAAAGGGTATAGTAATATTCAATTTAGTGACGTCGTACGGAGAGAAATTCGTACGACGCTTTGCGTGGTACATCATTGGTGCATGTACGACAATAACCGAGGTACGTTCATGTTGCCGCGCCCGTCGTACCTCGTACAGACCCTTCTCCTCGCCTCCCTCAAACAGCGCTCGCCAGTAGCGCTCCCGTTCCGATTTGGTCAGCAGTACCTGGTACGACGGTATGCACGCACAGGCAAGGTGGTCGATGGGAGGCTGTACATTGTACGGCGAGTGTACGAATATGCGACTTTGGTACACCATCTATCTTGGCGTCCATCCATACCTCACGTGTCCACACCATCCTCTGCCTTCAACACCGTTTGCTACCGCGACGACTCCCACACATTACGCTGTACAGCCTGGGTCGGTGGTCGTATCCGTCGTACTGTACTGGGTGGTTAAAACAGTACGCACACGGCGATGTGTTGCATACCTTACCTTACCTAGCAAAGCTTACGGGTTGGCTACGCAATCTGCTCTGACTCACGGGCTGGCTACGCAATCTCCGTAAACATAACCTGAGCTGCGTTGCACTGCGCAAGACACAACCTAATTGCGGCTGAAACCTGTGGGGGCTGAAACATGTGGGGGCTATGGATGTGACACACACCCCAATACACCCCAATACACACCAGTACACACACACCTGCAAGGTGTCCCCCTCCAGCACCCACAAGCTGTCCCCGCTGGCGACCTCCCTGTGCAGCGGACCGTCCACCACCCGCCCGCACCACCCCAATCGGACAGCCAGTCGGCCCGGGGTGATGGTCACTCCCACCTCGCCCTTGCGCGTGCCTGTCAGTTGGGCAGTGGGTGGCAGAGGGTGTAACACAACAAAAGGGGTCGCTAGTCCCCCCCTTTATTAGGGGGGTAATGTGTATTCAGGTAAGACGGTTGTGGAGGAAAACGGATCGGAAAGGTTTAGGGAGGGAAGGGCGTTGTACAGTGTGGCCGCTGGCCGTATTCTCCTGCCGCACGAACCCCTGACCCTTTTTTTAAAATTGTGCCTGGATTCTGCCGTACCCGGAGGCACAGAGATGGTGACGTACACCTCGGTCGACGTCTGTGACCAGGTGACTCTCTCCCGGAGGGGTACGGCAGCCCAAGCCGCGCGCGCCGCCGCCACTGACGGCTTTGGACCTGAGTCCCAGACTGTCCGGAGCCCGTCCTCGTCGTACTCGACGTCACCGTCGCCGCCGCCGCCGGTGATGGTGGTGGTGCAGGTGCCGGCGGCGGCGGCGGCGCCGGTGACAGGCTTGCCGCTGGCCGTACCAGCACGTGATGCGGCGGTTCCGGCGCCTCGAGTGGATGGCAATGCCGCCGTCGCCGCTGGGGCGGTGGCGGTGGCGGTGGCGGGATCTGTTGCCATTGGGGACTCTGCCGCGGTCACTGGCGATGATAATGATGGCGATAACAGAGTTGGTAACATGCTGGGGTGAGGGCGGGCAGAGGTGTGTTGCCTGCCAGTCTGTTCCGCGGCTCGCGCCGCCGCCTCCAGCAAATCTAGTCCCGCCGGGCCCCCCCCCGCCGCCGCCGTCAACACCGCCCAAACACTGTCCTTCAGACCAGCAGCCAAAACGCAGCGGCCGCTGCCACAGCCGCCTGCGACGCTGCAGGTGCCGTACGCATCCCCCGCTGCAGCACGCGGCATTCGGCATGCCCCGGCAGCCGGCTGCTCCACGAACTGGATCCACGCCGTACGACGGGCACGATCCAAACATGCACGCAGCATCCTCGCAGCGGTACGGACCTCCTCGGGAGAATAGGGGCAGATCAAACCGCCGCAACTGTCAGCAACATTCCCCACACCATCATCTCCGAGACCTAGTCGCCTGTGTCTCTCATTTTGGCCTGGGTGAGTATGAGCCATCGGGGCAGTGGCGGCGACGCTGCCGGTGGCAACGGAAGCGCCGTTGCCGCTGCCGCCGCCGCCGCCAGCACGAGATGATGGATAGGGATCGTACGGATAACCGATCCATCGCAAGGCCGTCAAGAGAGGTGTGGCCGCTGCAAAACCGCTAACGGTACAACCGGCGGTGGCGGCGGCGGCGGCGGCGGCGCCGCCGCCGCCGCAGTGGCATAGAAACGCAAAGTCGTCCGGGTCACAGGAGTCCACGAGGGAGCACAATCGGGCGGCAGCACGCAGCCGTACGGCCGACGGCAAGGACACAGGCGACGCTGCCCCTGCTGCCCGCGCCGTGGTGGCTGTGGTGGTGGCGGCGGCGGCGGCGGCGGCGGCGACCGCGACGGGGGCGGCCATGAGGGCCGCCAGTGCGCGCATGTCATAGCCCGTGCAGATGTCCTCTGCAGCTGCCTGCAGACGTCAGCGTATGGTATGGCGTCAGGTATGGTATGGTTAATGGAAGCGGGGATGAGGCGATAAAGAGGAGGCGGGGAGGACGGGACTGACGTGGTGCAACCCGTGGCGTCGGTTTCATTGCTGTTTGACCGACCGACAGACAGACAAACCCTAATACTTGACCAGCTGAAGACTTACCCCCCCCTCCCCCACTTACGCTCACCCATCTGCAATGTAACGGACATCCATCTGCCCACCTGACACTGGGCCGCAAGTGTCACATACAGCTCGTCCATTACCGGCTCCAGCTCCGACCCACGAGTCACTCGCCGTCCCGTGGCTTCTGGCTGCAGCAAATCCAATGCGCCGGCCGTGTAGGCGGCCCGCGCGGCACGGCGGCTGCAGGCGCACAGGCTGCATAAGGCCCTGACGGCGACGACTACTAGCGGTGGCAGGTCGAAAGGGAGGTCCATGCCCTGCTGCTGCTGCTGCTGCTGCTGCTGCTGATGATGATGATGATGATGATGATGCGCAGCATGAGACATGTTCTGCATCTGCCGGCGGTTGGACAAGGCAGCAGCCGTCGACGCGACGGCAGCAGTAGCGCCTGCTGGGGTCTTTGCAGCTCCGAAGCTCCGGATGCAAAAGTCGGTGCTGCTGCAGCCCGCAGTGGAACGTTGGCGTCGGCGCCGGCAGGGATCAGCGGCAACGATGCCGCCACCGGCGTTGTACGACGCCAACCTGCCGTCACGGCCGAGACGAGGTAGCAGGCAGCGCGGGCAGCCCTCCACGAGGTGCCGTACCTCGGCCACCAGACCTGTATGTATGTATGTGTGTGTGTGCACAGCATTTGGCGGCGAATTCGAGTCAATAACGAACGCAATTTGCGGAAGACACAGAAAAAGCACAAGTTGATGCAAAGAAATGCCGGAGATAAACGTTTCCAGCACCAAATTGCGCATTCATAGGTGAATGCCGGTATCCGCGTGTATCTTGTATCTTGCGTCTTGACGGTCATCATCAACATCACCACATGGGTTTCCAGCGCAGTGGCACGATGGTTTTGACAGATGTGTACGGATTGCGCACCTCGCGCCAGCTGCTGCTGCTGCTGCTGCTGCCGCTGCTCACTCTCCACCTGCGGCTCTGCCGCCGCCTCCTCCTCCATCACCTCCCGCCGGACCGCCGCCGGGGCTGTACGGCACACGTCAATCACTGCCGCCAGTAGCTGCTTAGCCGCCATACAACACGCCGGCGTCGCCGTCACAGCCGCACTCGCTGTACTCCCTGCACCCGTACCCATGCTCGTACTCACTGCCGTACTGACGGCGCCCGAATGCAATCGCTTTGCCAAGGAGTACAACCTTAATAGGGCGAGCAGCGGCCGCCCCGCCGTCGCCTCCACCCATATTTCTACACCAGGGGGACCCCGACCATCCTTTTGCTGCGGCTTGATAATAAGCTGGCAACAGGGCAAGGAGGTGGAGGGAAAAAGGGACGATGTGGACGAGCAGGCGGTGGGCGGGGGGGAAGGGAGGGAAGAGGCGGACGCCGGGCAGGAAAGGATGGCTCCACGTAACGCACACGCCAGCTGCGCAAGGCCCTCCGGCGGCAGATCAGCGACCCACGGGTCGAATCTTAGCGCCGCATCCGCCGTCGCGCACATCAGGCAGCCGCAGCGGCTGTCGTCACTGGCGCCGTTGCCGCCGCCGTCGCCGCCGCCACCGCCGTCGCCGCCGCCGCCGCCTCTCCCGCCTGGAGGACGCACGCATTTCGGCATTTTCGTTTCAAGTCCAATCAGCACCACAGAGCTTCCTCCTGTTGCTGCTGCTGCTGCTGTTGTTGTTGCTGTCCTGATGTCGCCGCAGCAGGCGACCGCCGTTGCGCCATCATCGGCTTGGAGGGCTCGGCCCAGGCCGGACTGCTTCCTTTGCTGGGCGTTTATTTGTACGGCACAGCCGTTGGTATGGCATGCCCCTAGGTGCTTGCCTTTGCGGTGCGGCTGCAGGAGCCAGGCGGCAGAGACGGGCGACGACGTGGCGGCTGCACTCAGTACGCCCAGTGCAGCTAGGGACCCGGGGTGGGGGCGGGGTGGGGCGGGGTGGGTGGGGGGGTGGGGCAGTGGAGAGGACCAGTGCATGCAAAAAACATGTCGCCATCATGACTTCATCATCACACGTAATCGGTTAGTTAGGGTGTTAGTTAGGGTATTGGTTGGGACACACAGTAACATGGTAACAAAAAGACGGTTGTGAACGACGTACGATACCGGCAGAAACCGGCAGTAACAATACCGGCAGAAACCCGCAACCCCAAGACGTCACCCTGCAGCTCATCAGCCTGACTCCGATGCTAGGCCAGCGGTCTCACTGGCGTATTCAATTTCAAAAATTTCACTGTCATGTACGTGCTGCGGATGGTGGTGGTGGTGGTGGTGGTGGTCATCGCACGTGACATTGATCGGTTGGTCGGTTGCGCAAGTTGATCGTTGGTAACGCGGCGCACCTAGCGCGACTTGCGGCGTCGCATGGGGAGCCGCGTCACCTCCGTCACCGCTTCGTCTGTCTCCGCCTCTCTTCACCACCGCCGCCACCAGCGTCTCCCAAAACCAGTTAGGAAAGGGTGACAGGGGGCCCGGTCGTGCGATTGCCGTTTCGTCGCCATCATCAACGGAATCGACGCCCTTAACGTCTCTAGTAGGCCCCCATGTCGCTGATGTTATTGCTGCCGGCCCTGACGGTGGCGGCGGCGGCGGCGGCGGAGCCGTCGCGGCCGCGTCGTCGCCATCGTCGTCGATGGTGACGGCCGTAGCGCCAGCAGCGGAAGCGGCGGCATGCTGTAGCAAAATCATGAGTTCCGCAGCCGCCTGCTCGCAAGTCGCAGGCTCGATCAACTCGGCTAACAACGCGCCATACGTGCCGCGTTCTTTGTTCTTGCAGTCGTCGTCGTCGTCGCGGACGCCGGCGTGCGCGTGTGTGGTGTTGTGGGCAGCACACTCCAGGACGCGGTAGCGGGTTTCGCGGACGGAGGTGGCGGGCGCCGGACGGGGGGTTAGCACCGAATGTTGTGGCGCACTGACTTCCCTTTCCGCTGCAATCTGAACAACAACACTCTCCGCAACAACAGACGTTGCATCTTTATTTCCTTTGCTGGGGATGCTTCCCCATTGATAAGAAGAAGAAGTAGAAGAAGATAAAGAAGAAGAAGAAAAAGAAGAGGCCATGTCGTGACGTTTCTTGTTCGGACCTCAAATCCCCCAGGTAGGGCTGTGTAGGGCTGTACGGCTTCCCTCCCACCGAGGCAGGTGGTTGAGAGGGTCTTGCGGTTAGTTAGTTAGCTGCTGTACTGCGGGTAACGACCTCGTGTAGACGAGATACACAGGCAAGTGGCCGTTGGCGCGGGGCGCAGGGGTCGCGGGCGTTGCTGCTGAGGGGATTTTCCTCGGGTTGTGTAACGACGCAAACACAGGGAGGGGTCCCTCACCCCCGGGGGGAATCGGGTGGTCGACAATGTTGTGAAGGAGAAAAGTCGGAATGCCGAAATGCCGCAAACCGCACAACTGGTAACCTGTAACCCGTATTAAAGAAGGGACCTGCCACTACTGTACACACAGCGAGTGTGGATGATGAGTGTTGTTGTTATTGACGCGCGTTCATGCGCTCGACCATCACTTTCCACTTCCAGAAAGTTAACCAGATTTTCGTAACAGACAGAACGTATTTGGCGCGTAAAGATGAAGGTGCAGAAGGAGAAGGAGGATAATATGGATACGGTGTTGTGTTGCCACTGCTGCTGCTGTTGTCGTCGTCGTGTCATTGTCATCGGATAGTCCCACAGCGAGATCGTCCGCCGTTTCAAGACGGCGGACGGCGGACGGCCAACCATCAGCTAGACAGACAGACAGACAGACAGACAGACAGAGAGCTGCGACAAACGGACGACGACACACCGTACAGGATTTCCCAACTTTTCTTCTTGGACAATCTCTCGGACCGACCTCCGCTGTGAGAAAAGAGTTTCCTGAAGCCCCTCCTGAAACGGATAAGTTCCCTTCACTCCCGGAAGGGCCCCCTTGACGATGAAAACGTCTCATTTGTCTGATCCCGCTTCCACGCCGAAACCCATTCCTAAGCTCGATATAAAGGTATCGGCGCGGAGGAGTATAATCACCGTAGTAATAGCACTGCACAACTCGCACAAATAATTATGCCCTATAGCCAATTAAACGTGAGGGCGCACCTGGGGAACCTGGGGGACGCATTTCTATTATATACATTCCGGTTCCCTTTCCCGCCTGAAACTGAACTCAACTGAACTAAACTGCAGATGCAGGTGCAGGTGCAGTTGTGAAGGTGCAGGGACACCTACGTGAAATCGAACAAAACGCGATACCGGCGATGCCCAACATAATGTAATATTAAATAATATACTCATATAAAATCGTTCTCAGCCTCCTACCTCCCGCCATCTGTTGCAAACCATTCACCATTCACGAACATCCGCCCCCAGTCCCTCGGCAAGATGCAGATCCCAAACACCTCTTGTACAACACTTCATGTTAAATAGTACAGGCATACAATTCATTCGTACGCGTCGTAATTCAGAACTTGGCGATGCTACCATCCGCAAGTCCCGCCAGCTCCTCTGCCGTACTGGTACGACCAAGCACCGTGTTGCGGTGGGGAAAGCGGCCCCATGCCGCCACCACATTGCGATGCGCCTCCATGTACGACAGCGCATTGCGCAGCGCCTTTGCCGCCGCGGCGGCGGCCGGTCCGGCTGCTTCCGTCGTCTCCGCCGCGACCCGAAATAGCTGGACGCCGCGCTGTCGGCCGCCATCCGAACGAGAGAACGGTATTACGGCGGAGGCGGCGGCAGCAGTTGATAAGATACGATGGTCGGCACAGCATTTTGGCAATACAGCAAGGCCCAGAGGCTGATTAAGTTGCGCAACTTCATGAGGTCCTTTCTCAGTCCTCAAAACACACACACACACACTCTCACACACACACGCGCGCACACACACACGCACACACGCGCACTCTCTGTTACCCCCCCGCCTCCCCCACTCGAAACCCGGAACCCCCCTTCCCGCCTTCCGCACTTGCCCTAACCCCCCTGCCCCGCCACGCCTCTGAAGACGCCTCCGCCGCCCTCTCACCTCCTGCGCCTCCAGGTCCTCCGCGTGCATGTACGGCATATACGCAAAGTACCGCACCATTGCGGGTAACGCCTTGTCGGCTCCCTCCGCCTGTGTGTGTGTGTGAGAGAGTGCGGCCGCAAGCCGCGGCCGCATTGCGTATCAGGGTTTTACAATAAGTCGGGCATTTCGTTCCTTCGTTCATTTGGGCAATTTCGTGTTATAGCCAAAGCAAAGCGGCATTCCAACAGCAGCATGCAGCAACATCTGCCCCACACCCTTCCCTCTTCCCCCTCTTCCCTCTTTCCTCCCTCCCACGCACCACAGCATGGTCAGCCCACGCCAAGGCTTTCGAATCCAGAGCAAACGCCTCAGGCCTGCCTCTGTAGATGTTTCTGCGGGGAAGGGGTTCAGGCGGGTTTCCGAAAAAGACACACATGGGCGCTACGATGCAAATACGGGACTGTGCTGGTTTAACTGGTGTGGAAGAAGAAGAAGAAGAAAGCCTGCACACATTCTTAGAGAGATTCCTAGGACTATAAAGTGTAAGGAAGTGCGCGATGCATGTAAACGCAGCTAAACGTTCCTCACGCTCCTCATACATACCTGGTGAACTGGTCCATGAGGATGATTCCCGCCACCAAGCTCAAGGGATTACCGTCGCGCCAGCTGTCGTACTGGCCTTCGCCGATCTTCCGTACATCTTGTTCAAAGTGCTCCGTGATATACTGTTTAGTTGTACAACACAAGGGGACCATCACCACAACCGAAAGGCGGGTTACAAGGGAAAGCATGAGGGGGACTGTTTACGTGTAAATCGGTGTGTGTTGCAGACGAAATGAACCACGCAACGTTATCTTATTTCTGTGTATGCTGCATGAGATGCTGCGTGGACATGTCACGCACCTGGTCTACAGCTGGTCCGCCGCGAAACCAGAGCTGCATCTTGTTTTGGGGCGTAAAGGAGTCATCGGCAGTCGAGTACTCAGGGCCGAACCTTTGGAATATAAGCAGTCCAGTAAATATGCATGTTGAGAAAAAAATGGATGGCAGTATCGACCAGTCCGCCGCGAGCTCACCAGTATTCAAGGACAGCCCGGGCACGATCCGGAATATCAGGTGATGCCATCGGACCTAAACTCTTCTGTGCAGCTTTTCCTTGTGTTTTCAATCCAAGATGGTTGGCGAAAGGGTGCAGCCGAGTCCTTTTAGCGCGACATGAGTTGTTGAAGTAGGTAACGATGTGCCGAAAACGGACGAGCATTCCGCTCTTGCGCAATAAGATTAAAAACGTCCCAGAAATGTGAGTTTCCAAAAATGGTGATATATGCAAAAACGGCACCGGACCTGTCGTTGTATAAAACGTCGTACAAAACAGCGACTTACTATTCCGTTAGGACCGAGCCCTGTGAGAGGCGCGAGGAGGAGGAGGAGGAGTTGGAGGACGAGGAGCCAGCGTTGCGGGGCGCATGTAGGCAGGCTATTGTGGGAGGCTTGAGATGGTGTTGCCAGGGACCACGGAACGGCGGAACCCCCTTCCAGCCCCTAGCCCATTCCCTAGCGGGGACGTAGTGTAACGAGGGGTTCATGCTTCAAAGCTCAGTGCTCAGTGTGCAGCCAGCTGCCACAGGACTTCACCACGTCAAGCAGGACATAATGTTAGTTACAAGTCAGAAGTTCCGCACAAGTGCGGGGGTGTCCGCAAAAGCCGGGGGAGGGAGCTTTGGGTACGGGGTTGGGGGCCATTAATGAGACGGGGCGGGTGGAACCCCAACCCCCCCGGGCGACCGCTCCGATTTGGCGTCTGCGTCGGGCCCATCAGCTGCAGCCAGTCTGTCAGTCTGTCTGTCAGTTTGCTGCCCCACATGCACACGGCCACGGCCAGAGGGGAGCGGGGCCTTGGGGGCGTGCTGGGTGACATTTTCGAGAGACAAGGCTACATGCGGTTCTGCGGATAAGGCCCGGCACCCCTGGGATGACCGGGAAAGGCCGAACAACCGGCCCGATGTGGTGAGTGAGTGGGAGAATGAGTGAGAGAGCGAGTGAGTGAGAGGTGGAGAGTGTGTGTATGTGTTTTTGCTGCGGCGGCCGCTGGTAGAGTCCTGTGCTCCAGACAGATTCACGAGACCCGCCCGTGGCTGGGCTCCAGACGACTAGTCTCGGCTATAGGATAGCGACGATGCACAAACGTTTGCATGGACAGTACTATGAAAGCACCGCTATTGAATTATCATGGACAAGTGCATTGCCGTACGTTATCATGTCCGCCCTGAACTAGCGCAAGATTTCACAATTCTGTTGTTGATGATGTTGTCCTGTCTGGCCAACCCTGGGGCTAGTTTTTCGCTCTGTCCCGGGAATCCTAGCTGCGACTCTGCCGCCGGCGGCAACAACGGTGATGTCAGACAAAACTCACATTGCACATACATACATACATATACATGCACACTCACTCACTCGCTCACTCAATCAATCAATCACCGCACCGGAGCAGCGTGTAGCGCGTAGAAGCACCAGCAGGGGTGCAGCAGTGCGTATGGGACGGGATCAGCCTCGCGGCGCTGTCCGATATGGAAAGTGCACGGGCTGGACTGCGGGTCCCACAACCCGCAATCCAGACCCCGCGCCCGAGGCCCCGGCAGCCCCGCTGGAGGCCGCGAGAGCCCGCATGCGGTGCCGTCGACTTGCAGCACAGGGCTTTGCGGAGCTCGCCGTGCCCCGGCGCAGCTGGGACAGCGTGGGCCCCGACCACCCCATTCTATCGGTGGTGGACGGGCGCCTGTGTTGCGTACAGCCAGTAGGGCTGGGAGAGGAAGGGGGGAGGGGGAATAGAAAGGGGTGCTGGGAGGACCCCGGTAGATGGGCTGGTCCGCTGGGCGCGGGGGGGGAGGGGATAGGGGCTCCTGAGAGGGTTTTGGTTTTCTTTGTTGGGTCTGGGTAGAGGGCTTTTCGAGGGAGAGGGCGCGCCTCGCCATAGGTTGCACCAAGGGCAGGGGCAGGGTTTTTGAGAGGCCGCTGCTGTAGAGGTCTTGGAGGAGTCGCAGGCGACGGGGGTGGGTGTAGAGCAGACTGGGTGACGCTGTGTGATTTGTGCCTCGAGTGGTGTGGTGTTGCCTCGAGGCATATCCCTAGCAGCCCCGTCTCGGTGAACTGGTCGGTAGCTGTGAACAGTGCCCGCCCCCCATCGCGCGCGCTCGAGAGGTGGTTGGCGCGAGGAGAATCGCGTGAGAAACCGAGCTTTACATTAGGGCCTCGTGCCTTAGTATTGAGGGTATTGAGGGTCTGTACAGGGTTTCCGGGTTTCCTCTGTCTTAGAAGTGAACCCTTACCCCAAGAGCCGGATCAGGCCGGGGAGGGAGACGGAGTCTTGTTTCGTGTTTCAGGCTCAGTGAACGCAAGTTCGAGCATGTGCGACGCCTCCCAACCCGCCGGTGGGGAGGAGAGCGGAGCTAGCAGACCTGCAGCTCTCGGCTGCTTAGGCGGGGGGACAGAGGCCCCTCTAGCGCCCCTCTCCCGTCCGCGGGGGAGAGAGAGAGCTTTAGGCGGTCACTTCGTTGGGGCAGCAGGCAGCAGCCCCTGGCCAGTGTCAGGCATGTCCAGTCAGATACTTCACACCCGTACACACACACACACAAGCGCACAAACTGTAACTGACATAACTGACAATATTCACGTAGGTGTCGAAGAGTGAAGTGTCGAAAGGAGTGTGCGCGTGTACGGAAATACACACACATACCCCACTCATGATTCGGGTCCGGGTATGTCACCCTGGCGGCTCTGAAACCGCCGCCCCGCTGTCAACCGCTATTAACTGCCGTAACACGACGAGGGATGCAAGGTTGGATGTATGGATGGAAAAGTTCTTTCTCTCTCGGCTAACTACTAACTACCTAACTGACACGTGCCGTCTCTCCTTCCATCTCTCCATTCGTACACTCTCCAACCCCCCCCTTACAAGGGAGGCCCCGAAATAGGATTTAACTTCACAGATGCATACATACATACATACATGCATACTCAAACGTATGCGTGTGCAAGATGCGGCATCACCTAGCAACACAAATGTACGACCACTACATATGTACTGCTTCGCATACCTTAATTAGACGGGGGATCATCACCGACTTAACATGTGACACTCCACTACTACTTCTCAACTTCGTGCTCTTCATAAACTTAGTTTGGAAGGAATGTAGTAGTTGAATGGAGTTGTGGGGAGTGTAAAAAAGCGCCGAACATTACGCTAAGAAAATTTGAGGGAAGTACGGAAAAGAATACGACACAGACTGACAGGTGGACAGGTGCCGTACTCCCGCTGTGTTGCCGTACACACAAGGCGTTGGCCAAAATCTCCTCCTATCTCCTCAAATTCCATTATTACTACAACTACTACAACTACTACGATGATGAAGACGACAGCTCACTGGTTGGAGTTGCGTAACGACGTCATCCCCCTGCTGCTGCTGCTGCTGCTGCTGTGTAAGCACCTAGCAAAGCTTGGTTGTCCTGAAGCTCCAGGATGAAATAACATACATACATACAGACACACATACATACACACACACCGATCCACACAAACACAGAACAATTAACAAAATCAGCCCAAGGAGTTCGTGGAGAGCCATTACTCTGCGTACGGTGTACGGTGTACGATGTACGGCCGTACGAAGGCAGGAAGCAAGCGAACTCCCCCCACGGCTTCTCAACGTGCACATACAACAACTGCAACAGGATCCAGTCCTTCCGTATGTATGTATGTATGTAAGCTCCTCTCCTCGCTATTGCACCAGCTCCGTTGCTATGCCTGCCTCTCGCTGCCCTTGCACATGTGTGTGTGTGTGTGTGTGTGTGTGTGTGTGTGTGTGTGTGTGTGTGTGTATGTGAGAGAGAGAGAGAGAGAGAAACACACACACAGGGGGGGGACTGTGGCCGCCACCACATCAACACAGCGGCCCTAGCACCCACCACGTATAACTCCTCTTGTACGAAATTACCAAATTAACCAAACAACAAATCATTGCAGCAGCATTGAAACATGAAATAACTAACTACCATCAGCACTGTCGTCGTCCACACGTCGTACACCACGGCGAAAGGTCTGCACCAGCCGCATGTTGCCCGCATACTTGGCTTGTGGTGCAGCACGATGACGTCGGCGTGACTCACACCACCTTCCCCGCCCGTCTGTCTTCTTGTCGCTCTCCGCTTATATATATACATACACACATACATATATATGTATGTATGTGCGTGTCTGTGCAGCCAAACCCCGCCGGCAATACACCGTCCACCAATCCATATAGACACCATCAAAAGTTAATCAAGTTAAAATATTAATGCATGTACGCCATGTACGGCGTTCGTACCACTGTAAGAGCTAAACGTTAACCGTGCCGTGCAGTTACAGTGGGGGCCCCGCAGACGGGTACGGCGTCACTGCCGCTGCTGCAACCCGCGTACCGCTCCCCATAGAGGCGGAGAGCTTCCGCTCCGAGACCGCTGCTCACCACAAACGCGCCGCCGCCGCCGCCGCCAGTGTTGATGCCGTTGACGTCGCCGCTGCTACCGCCGCGCGGCGACGGAATATCCACTACAGCCACGCTGCCGTCGTCGCTGAACTCAAGACTCCATTGCAGCGCCGGGACCGGCCCCGATTCGTTAATGCCGTACAGGTCGCCAAGCGCGGGTGCCGTAGAAGCGCAGCTGCCGTACCGGAGACCCGGCGTCAGCATCGTCCGTCCGTTCGCTACTGCCCCGCCGGCTTGCGCCCTCCACGACGGTGGTTCAGCTGCCGATGCGCTGGCTCCGCCGCCGCTGCAACGCGATGCCGTCGGCGCGCCGTGCGTTCTCGTAAACCGCAGTGCGGCGGCAAACGCCTCCGCCGCCTCGTTGCTCCAAACTGCCGCCGCGGCGGCGGCACTATCGCGGCTCCAACGGCCGCGGGCTCCGCCGCCGCGCAACGACGTCCGTACTTCACTCAAGTCGCCGCCGACGGCGCTGCCGCCAGCGCACTGGCTACCCCAAGCCCCCGACAGCCGCGCCGTACTGCTGCCGCCGCCGTAGATGCACGTGTTCGTGTTACGACTGCTGTTAGTGTATCGAAGCATCGCGTCGACAGCCATCATATTTGAATAATCCGTACCGCAGCTACTGCCGTGAGCCATCATCAGGCTAGCCGCCGCCGCTGCTTCATCCGACGGCTCCTGCGATGTCCGGCCGACATGAGCAGCGGCGGCGGCGCCGCCGCCGCCGCCACTGGCACCAACGCTGCGTTCCAAAGGCGCTCCTCGCAGCATGATGCGGCTCTCCATGTTCTTAGAACTATTGTGGAATGCTGGTGCTTTCTGCACATTCTCAACGTTGCCGCCGCCACCGTTGCCGTCGCAACGCAGCGCCGCCGCCAGATCTTCCGTGGATCGCGACTCGATCATGTACGGCACCTCAGCGCAACCTGATTCGGAACTACGGTTAGACTCCACCACCATAGAGTGAGCTGGTGATCGAGCGCGGGAAAGGGCCAGGGAAGCCTCGACGGCGGCAACCTTGACGGCACTTTCCGTGGTGGCGGCGGCGGCGGCGGCTGGCCCCGCCGTCGCTGCCTTGGACTGCAACATCATCCCGCCACTGACACTGTCGGTGGTGGACTCCTCGCGCCCCGCGGCCTCGCTGACGCCGCCACTGAACTCCAAACACGAGAGGCTCCTCGTGCTGCGGGAGGCATTCCGGTCGCTGGCGGGTACAGCAGCGGCGGCGGCGGCGGCGGTGGCAGTTGTGGCGCCACTGACTGGCTGCTGGACCTGCTGCTGCTGATGGTGATGGTGATAATGGTGGTGGGGGTGGTGGCGGGGCGGCGGCGGCGGCGCTGCCTCCACACCACGGAGATAGTCTACCGCCGCCGCCGGGGGACTGCGATCCGGAAGGGACCTTGACGTACTGACGTACGGCACCCGGATCCAGCCGTTGTCCGGCATCACCAATGCGCTGTGGGATGGCGGCGGCGTCGGCCGCGCTGACGCGGAGGGTACGGCACTTGTAGAGGCTGCCGCTGCGGAGGATACCTCCGGCACCTCTGGCACCGACACCGCGAGGTCGGAGGTCAGCACCACAGCGTACGGCGCAATGTCGGTCATCGCCGTACAGAACGTGTCCGTCAGGAGGAAGGAATGGGCGGAGGGGCAGTCCAGCTGCTGCTGCTGCTGCTGCTGGTTGGTAACGTGCCGCAACGTGGGAGTCACCGGCTCCGCCGCCGCCGCCGCTGTCGGCACCGTCCAGGAAAACCCTGCCGCCGCCGCGGCGGCCACAGCCGCCGCCGCGTCGAAAACCGACCTTTCCTCCGCCGCCTTCCTGCAAGCCCCGCGTGCACCGGATTGCTGCCCTTGCCCGAGTCCCTCGGCTGCTGCCGCCGCTGCCAGCGGCCGCCGCTGCTGCTGCTGCTGCTGCTGCTTGGATGCGCTGGCGGAGCCGCGGTGTACGGCACCACCTTCGGCAGTGGAGCGGCAGACGATGGACGCCGCCACGGCGCGATCCAAATTAAGCAACTCTCCGAGGACCTCGTGCGCGAAATCACTCACGGACTCGTAGCGGGATGCCGCTTGGCGGTTACACAGCAGCGACGAAAACTCCAGTACGGCATCAGTTACGACAGGGGTGATCTTGAAACACAGCTCCTCCAGCTTCCTCAGGAGCCTGAAATGTCATGTAAGGGGGGGAGAGGGGGAGAGGCGCCGTCTGGGGAATAGTTGAGGAACGGAAAATGGGCGCCGCTGAGCGCCCCGTCAGAATGGACGAGCGGTGGACGAGCGGTGGACGAGCACTGCAACTAAAAATGCCGGCGCTTGTCAAGGTGAAGGTCAAGGTGAAGGTGCGAACGGAACCTCTGAAACGCCGACGGAAGGATATACCGATGGATGTACAAGCATAAAGCATAAAAGCCCTCATCATCCTTCTCCATCAGTGCCCAGCCCAGCCCAGCCCAGCCCAGCCCAGCCCAGCCACTTACAGATGGTCGAGGCTCTTCTGTTTGGAAGCCACGGTCAGCACGCCCGTGACGTCGGCGCCCTGCATGCACGGCAGCGCCAGCACGGACCGCATGCCGGCGCACCGCAGCCAGCCGCCGTCCTGGGGTAGGCCGAAGCCGTTTGCCGCGGACGCGCAGTCGTAGTACCAGGGTGCCTTGCTGCCCACCACGTCTTCCACGCACCAGTTGCAGTCCCTCACCTGGTGCGGATGAGGAGAGGAGGGCGGTGGTCTGATGAAGATTCGGGGCTGTGGGGAGGCAAGCAAACAGGCAAACAAGTTCAAAAGAGAGGGCGAGCATGTGCTCTTCCTGCTACACACGATGGACATAAATTCTAATTACGCATGGATAAAGATTATGGCAAAAATATGAAGAAGGCCAATATGAGGAAACAACCATAAACGAAAAAGTAAGGTACAGAACGCAAAAGCGCATTTACAATAGGCTTGGCTCACGGAGCAAGATCATGGAGAGGCGCCGGCAGCTAGGCTTGCGTGCTAGTCAAGAGAAGGTAGAAAGACCGTACCTGGAAGACACAGCGTGTGAAAACGTTGAGGGGGGATGGCGATCCGAAGTCGCTCAACCCGACGGCTCTCTGCGCTTCTTTTCCTGTGAGCATCGGTGGGTACAGCTCCGAGCCGGCTCCGCTGAGCGCGGCGATGCCAAACGTGCCTCTGGCAGGGTGCACGAGGTACACGCTGCAGGGGCAGATTAGCGGTGGTGGTGGTGGCGTCAGCCCGGTCGGGCACGTGATTCAGAGGTCGCCAAAGTCAACATGATCAGCAACGAGCAATGTGCAAAGGGAGACGGTTTCATGCATTTCTGTTTAAATATGCGTGAACTTGAGAGGGAGAGGGAACATCCGATTGCAGGTTGCGTAAATTTCGTTCGCAGTGGGAAAAAGCGACTGAACAGCCCATCGACGTTTTGTGCCAGTTCGGCTAGGCATTTTATAGTTCTTGTCGGGTTCAACTGCTTACCAGCAAAAGTTAACCAAACCGGTGTCCGTAAGATTGCGAGCGAGAGCCTTCAGCTTATCGCCCGAGGACGAAAGCCTCAGGGTGCTTGCAAACGCGCTATCAATCTGCGATGGCAGACAAAGTTCCGAAACGGTGAACAATGTTGGCAATAAAGCGAACCACCGAAATGGTTTCCCCGGAAAGAGTCGCGGCATACCATCCGTTAGCCTTCTTGCATTTCGCAACCATCGCTACCCCCGTACTTGCCTTGTAATAGCTTTTCAGATGCAGGTCCAGGCTCCGCCTTATACCTTGCACAACGTTGAACCAGCGCGGTCCATGTTGCCGCCCGCTACTCGAAGGCTGGCATTGCATGGTCGCGTTGTCATCATTAGGTGTCTCTGCAGCTCACAGGAGAGGATTTAATAAGAAGAGTGCGCTAGAGCCGACTTGCCGCGAGCGCTGTCTGTAAGAAACTTGCAACCAAGCCAACACACCAGAAAGTCTGCTTCTGGACGCATGACATGATGTAAAATGACAAAGAAAAACAAATTTATGTTCGAGCACCATCCGCACAAGCTCACCTGAACTGGAAGCGCTTTCAAGCCACTTGCTCCGCATTCCTTTGTACTAGTAAGCGGAGAACGTTGTGCAATCAGTGAGCCACCGGCTCGCCACAGGGCAACAGTCGGTGTCAGATGTAGAATTAAGAGACCAAAGATTTGCCGATTCACTCTCAAGGACCAGGTTGTTAAGTCGCCTAGGATGAAGTTGCCTTGGCTGGAAGAAGAGCGTCAAAGTTGACTTTCAATGACTTAAGTATCTAGTGTATTCAGCCACAAGACAACGAATATTGCGAACAGATATTGTGCCTACCTGGCGGCAGCACAAAATGCCGTACGAATTGTGCCGAGCTGGCTACTCCTTGTCACGCGATCGCCAGCCTCAGCCTGACCTTTACTCATAGGAAACGAGGTGCAGCACACACATTGATGCCTTCCAGTGGCCTCTTTGCGTTGCTTTGGGTCCGTTTTGATGAGGGCATCGCAAGCCATCGTTGGACACGACTTTTTTCTGTCAGCCAGGTCAATTAGATTGAGTAAAATACGGCATTTCACATAGCTTCCATCAGCAATGGCCAGCTTGTTGTCAGCAGCATATAATTTGCAACGGGCACATAGTTGCTTTGCGCTATTTTGAGGAACTCCACGCTTCGCAAATACGGGTCGACCGTAACCAGATTCAGTATCAGGAAGCTGCGCGAAATGCATGCAGTTTTGCAACAACTTGACTTTTCTTGAATACATACCGATTCGCAGCCGCAGCCCTCTTCATCTCCCTCGCTCAGTCCGCCACCATTGGCCTTGTTGCGCTGCCACCTGATGCTGCTTTAATGGAAGTCCTCTAAAGTGGCATCGTGTTTGCATCGTGCAGAGGTCGTTTATCGTTCACAGGTCTCCAGCGGTCCTCAGCACCAGCGCCTGCCTCTGGCCCGTAGCTCAGTGCCCTGCCCGCCGGGCCCTCTGCCCAGCCCATGCGGAGGGCAGCCTGTAGGGGCTGTGACAGTCCGCAGCCTCGTCAAGAAGAAGCGGTGCTGAATGTCCCCCTCTGCCCTCGGTCTAGGTATGGGGACAGTAGCGGACACAGCATAGCAAGCTCTTTCGCATTACATCTGTCCCAAGAGTTGCCTGCGTCTGCTCTGGCCACATGAAGCTGTTTCCTGACCCAAATGCCGTTTTGGGTATTAGAGACGGATCCAGTGAACCATGAGTCAAGCGCCACTTTAAAGGCGTTTGTCTCCAGCTCTCAATATGTTGGACACTCTGCTGGACGAACATTTCCAGAGCGGCCTTCCAACCCACCGGATTGCTCTACGAAGGTCTACTGTTTGAGATTGGGAAATGCATGTCCAGGCGGGCCGGTGCTTCCACCCCAGTGCTGATGGGCACGGGACACACGAAGGGACTCACACGGGGCGCCCTAGGGAAACACCAATTTTGGCCCAATGAAGGAGTAACGCTTCCGGCAGGGACGTGCTCTAGAATAAGGCCTCTTCCGCAGGGACATTAACATGGCTCCGCGCGCTGCGATGACAACTGCGGATAGTGATTAGGCTGTTGGAAGGAAACTACGCCCTTTCCCTACGCCTTTTCTCTGAAACTGTGATGTGAGGAAGCGTCTGTGCCCTACATTTACACAGTAAACCCCGGCGACGTTCTTCCGCACCCCACATACAAGGCCATGCTGGCTCCCAGACCACTCTCCTTGTGCAGGTGTGTGTACGACACGGCAATCAGCAGAAAAACGAAACCCGTCATGCCGCCCATGGGTCGTTGTCCCGTCTGTGGACAGCAGGTGCCCAAAGCCATTCGCGGTCCTTGGCGACCTGACGTGATGAGAGTTCCATTAAGACCAAACGAATGCGCACCGCACCGGGACAGAAGACAGCTAATTGAGCTAAGGCAGCGCGGCCTCATGCCTTATGCACAAGCCGTTATGGAAGATCAAGCTTCCCCGCCTCAATGTCTATGAAATCTATAATCAGGCCAGCGGTTTTCTCCGGTCAGGCCATGCCTTTTCCCCGGGCGCCCTTGCTTTCCTCAACATCGGCCAAAGAATGTCGGCGAGTGGAATGAGACACACATGCACCAAAGCTCGCCCTACGGTATGCAACCACAGCTTCGCCATTTTCGGCCGGAATGCAGATACGAAAATGGTAGGCAGCTGTCTGTAAAATTTCTGCTTTCGAGGTCTTTGTCCTCCATTCGCTTAAAGCCCCAAGCGCATGCCGTTGCTAACGGCAATCCGTCAGCTGGTTTCTTTATTGGCCGAGGCATCCGAAGACCCAGCCTGCTCCAGGAGCTCCGCAATTGTCGCCTCCAGACTGTCGATCTTCTGACCCATGTCATCGATTTTCCTACGAAATGGGTGAGGGGTGCGAGTCTGATCAAGTTGGTGCAAGGACGCGGGGGCAGGGTACGTGGCGGGGTAGGGGGACTTCCCAGGTACTCCGGACAAGAAAACCATAGCAGCAATTATTACCCAGCAACAGTACGTAAGCGGCCGCTTAAACTTACGCCACAATATTATTTGACATGGTCTGGAAGCGCGCTTGCATTTGCGTCAGGAGCCCGGAGACGAAGTTTGTAAGCTCGGCGCTATTGTCGGCATTCTTGTTTTCCGCCATTCCTTTTAAGTTATGTTGCCCAAGGCTCAACACCGAAGAGTAATTGAGGTTAAAGGACGCTTCAGGAGAGTTCTAAGAGCTCTTCACTTTAATGATATAAAATATCTCTTGGGCTATAATGATTTCAATTGGAACTAAAGGTAAACTGGTCCAGTAGTTGTGCACGGGCTTGTAAGTGCGAGGGAGGGCCCTCTGCAAAAAAACGTTAAACCACGAATTGTTACGCAGCAACTGCTTAAACGGCTATTTTGTGTACGTAACTAGGTAAGGCATGTCTTTATCCATTAAAATCTGCCTCGGATGGACACCATCTTTGACCACGAAGTACGGAAAATGAAACACACCCCGAATTGAAAACTTACGCATTGTCATACAATCCAACTGATTTCCCGGGATTGGCTTCCTTCTTTTCATGGAAAGCTACCTATGTCGATGACCCATGTTGGCTTCTCGGACGATTGAAGATCTGTGAACGCGTTTGAACTAATGTTCCAAGTCGCTCCTGACAGCGGTTCTGCTGGGTGGGGGTATGAAGGAAGGTCCTCTCGCGGTTCATCCGGCTCTGCGGCCCATAAGGACGCTGGGCGTTAGAGACAGCCACCACGTAGTGCACGGGACAGCTCGTTGCGCTGAAGCTGATCCATCGCGCATTTGATTTACCAAGAGGCAAAATACCTTATCCGGGAGCTGCTGATCCATCAAAATCACTCCTCAAAACCTCGCATGCCCGAAACACAAGTGATGGCAACTGCCATGCGGCCAGTAGAGATGGTAGGTGTTATCATCCTGGTGGAAACCCCTTCTCCAGGCCCGTGGATGCGGAGCTCATCGCGCAACAGCAGGTGGCTCTGAGGCTGTGTATATTTTTAATGACAGAGCGTTCGAAGGGGCATCTCTTCTTCTGCTACTGCGGCTGATTTCAGTGCTGCCGCGGCTATTGATACGGAGTCCTCCTTGACCTGCTACTGCGGCTGTTATTGCTGCATACCTCGCTCCCTCGTCGTCCTGATCGCGATGCCCGCTCGTCTTCCTCCTCGTCCTCCTCTGCCTACTGCTATTGCTATTGCTGTTACTGCTAGAGGACACATCACCTCGCTAGATGCGAGTAGCCTCGTGGACCCCTAACGAACATAACCGCTGTCAAACGGACCACGAGGAGCGAGAGGGTGTCATTTCCTGGGCTAATGAGTCCTTGCTTGCTGTGGCGGACGAGAGGGGGACTGAGAAAGACAGCATCTACAGCGGCAGCAGCGGTGGCGCTGATGTGTAATTAAGGAATATGAGACCACCTCGTCATGGCTCGCACCACGCATCATCTCACGGTATTGAGACTATGTGTGCGTGTGTGTGCGTGTGTGTGTGTGCGTGTGTGTGTGCGTGTGTGTGCGTGTGTGTGTGCGTGTGTGTGTATGCGTGTGTGTGTGTGTGTGTGTTTTTGGAAGGTAAGTAAGAGCTGTGAGAAAAGCGACGTAGGGGTGAGTCTTATACAGTTCGTGGCGGTCCCCTCCCCTTCCCGTCTCTCTCCCCCCCTTTTCGAAGGAAGGTGCAATCTGTGTCTCGTAAACTTAGGGTTTTAAACGCAAGCATGCAAGCATGTTGTTACAGGGGGTGGTATAGCTTCACCAGCAGCCCCCTTTCCCTTGGAGGCAGTTCCCTGCTCTCCCCTGCTAGAGGGGCACCCTAATCCGTTCACCCCATTCGACTTCAGAATGTATTCGTTGGGTTCAGCAACTCACCACCAGCATCCAACCAAGCGGATCAACGGCGCCTCAACTTAGTTCCTGGTCAGCTCGCAAGTCGATATTATCACGTCCTACACCGTCCATAAGAAGGGGGCCACCTCCCATTTCAACACTCCTCAAACACCCGAAGAGTCGGCAGGCGGATTTGAATCCGGACACTCCGGGAGCAGAAGTCAGGCCTTAACCTCTGCCAGCCACCTGCATGCATGAATGACTGAATGAAGAGGGGCCGCAGGCGATATCTTGGTAATGCTGTATGCCTGCATGTATGTAAGTGTTTGCTTGGATAATTGTATGTATGTATGTACGGCTGGGTGCACGTTATCACCCCTTCTGCACTCCCTCAAGGCCTCCAGCCCCGTGAGGGGGAGAGGCGGGTTCAAGGGAGGCGACGGGATGATCTGTCCGACGTAATTCTTTCCCCCTTTAGGAGAGATGTAGCAATCATCCGGACATACGTACATACATATACCAATAACGCCAACAGCCGCCGTAAACACCACAAAAGTACAATATCACCGCCACCGTCACGACAACAACAATGCAACCACAACAGCCGCAATGCAACCACAATGCAACCACAATAACGACAACCGTGACTGCGGCAATAGCAACAACAGCATACCAGCAGCGATAGGATGAGCCCCAGAACCACACCAGTGAAAAGCATCAGGAGCAGAATCAGGAGCAGCAGCCCGTACGGCAACACGTGTCACCGAGCTTAACCTGCTTTGGATGGGAAGGAAAGAAGGTTTTTCTCCCCTGAAGAGGAGTGTGGGGAGGGGAGGAGAAAGGCGGGAATTCTCCCCCCCCCCCGCATAACCTGATCCGACGGTATACACCGTCAAAGACGCCTTCAAAGACCCCTTCCGTACACATACACAGCAGGAGTTGGCTGTGGCCCATCACTCCCCTCTCCTCCCGCCGCTAGGGGGAGAGTGCGTCGGCGGTAACCGTTACCCTTGGCGTTTTTACGGTTAGGTGCCCCTGGCCAGCGTCAGGCCCGGATCGATGTGTGTAACAGGAATGACGACAGTTGCCCCCGACACCGTAACTTTTATAAGCAGCCCGTGGTCCCCCCGGCTTTGGGGGAAGCCCCCGCGCCTGTGCGGACACCGTAACTGTAACAGAAACACATACACACACACACAACGCAGCCGTAACCAGGGGCCCCGTCCCCCAACTCTCCTCACGGGGCCGGCTGTTGTGAAATAATCTCCCATTTTCCCCGCTATCAACCGACAACTGACAAACTGTCAACTGACAACAAACGCAAACAGCTCGGAACACACCCAAGTTGAACTCAGGTTCTATCTTCCTGTGGGACATCATTCCCATCTCCAGCCTCCGTTCGTGTTTCCACCGCAGCAGCCTCCAGGGGGGATTGGTTGGCGGCCGGGGGGGAAATGGAGGGCGGAAGTGGAGCAGCAGCAGCAGCAGTAGCAGCAGCCGCTGGCGGCGGTGCCGTGGCTGGGGATTGTTCTTCAGGAGAAGCAGTGGACGGCGGCAGCGGCGGCGGCGGCGGTAGCACAGCTGAGGAGGTGCCTGCGGGGGCCGGGAGGTCCTCAGTCTCCCGGGCTCCAGTGTTTGGAGGGCTGTCCCGGTCCATGGGGGGACTGGCGGGGCGACCTGCAGCGCGAGGAGGAGGGGGAGGGAGGGGTGAGAAAGGATATTATGTAGCCGGGGAGGGAGGAGGACGGCAGTCCAGACAGGCTGGCTGGTGCGTGGCACCGATGGTGGGGGCGGCAGACGAGCTGCCACGTCATTGGGTTGGGTTGGGTCGCAACAACAGCCGCAAGAACAACAGCACCAACAACAGGCGGACTTCTGCAGGAGCCCTTTCCCTCCTTTCCTCTATATTTCCCCCCCCCAAGCCCCATCCTCCTCCACACCCACACACCACCACCACCACCACCTGCCTCCCTTGCTAGCTGCCGCACCCTCTCACACACATGCACGCACGCATTCACATACACATACATACATACATACATACATACATACATACATACATACATACATACATACATACATACATACATACATACATACATACATACATACATACATACATACATACATACATACATACATACAGCCGCAGCCACAGCCGCAGCCACAGCCGCAGCTACAGCCGCAGCCTCAGCCGCAGCCACAGCCGCAGGTACAGCCACAACAGCTGCAAACACAACCACAGCTACAGACACAGCATCAGCCGCAGCCGCAACAGCAGCAACAGCCGCAGCAACAGCTACAGACGCAGCCGCATGAGCAGCAACCCCAACAGCAGCAGCCAGAGAGGCCAACGGCGGGGGATATGGCGGCTCCAAGCACCCCCAACAGCACTCAGGCGATGGCTATGATCCTAAAGCGGGTCGGATGGCAGATGCCGGGCGGCACAACAACCGTCCCACTCACACGCCTGACGGTCCGCCTAGCGACACAGCTGCAATGCGGGGCCACCGAGGAGAAACGGGGACGCTTGATGGCAGCATTTGTGCAAGAAGCGTTGCACCCGCAGGAAACGACACCTTCCTCCTCAGCGGAAACAAGCCGCTTCAGGGCGACGCAAGCCCGCTTGTGGTCGGGGGTGCGGTGGGAGAACGAGAACAAAGAAACGCTGTGGCGGCTCGCCGTGGACGGCATCCCCCTGCCCGGCAACACGCACCTGGCCCGCATGGTGCCGGAGCGCTGTGGGTGTGGAGGGTTCGGCAACGCCAGCAACCAGCACT